TCGTCCAGGTGAGGAAGGCAATGGGTTTTGTCCCCAGGCCGGGACATACCTAAGTCCTTAAAAAGGGATTTGATATTCCCTGCTCTACGTTCAGCATTTGAGGTAATGACAACAACTGGTTCACCCGTTGTCAGTATAATGTGACCGGGTGGAATGCTGCGATCGGTCCCTTCGTTATTTTATTTCAGTATGATAGCACCAGTAAGTCGGTATAAAATCCGCACTACCACAAAGAGACAAATACAAAACGCACAAGGAGGCACCGAAGTCTAATGGTAGGACGTCGTGCCCGAAACCGAAGGGTTGCGGGTTCACGGCACTGGGTTGTATCTTTGAACAATTAGCTTTACTCCGCTTGTTCAAGTCTACTTAGCTGTAAATGAGTACGTGGTTTGGCAGTGCTAGAACTGTTTGAATGCTGGCTGTTAGTGCCGAAATGGCTGTATGCTCCGAAGGAAGTTGAGATAGATATGGCTGGTTGCAAAGGCCCTGTTACCACGGATAATAATTTGTTAACCGCTTTGAAACGACCGACGAACTAGGTTGTGATAATGTGGTATATAAGAACCTCGAATAATTAATTATTATCATTAAATGACAATTTATGTATGATAAAAATGCATAGATGTAGAGATATATTGATATTCCAAAACATCATCTAGTATATATCTATTTTTTCACATAACATACAAACTATGATAGCTGAGTAAAAGATGATAGCTCAGTAAATGCTCTTAAGATAAAAGATAAGTGCCGATACCGTTTTGGTAATTTCGAGATTGTATGTAAATACAAAGTACGCAGTTCAAGTGATTTTCAAATTTGTAAAGTATTAGCAAACATTCAAAGTCTTGATCAGTAACCCGGAAGTTTAATTATAGGTGTCAACGAATTGCGTCATCGGTCTCTTTGCCTACCAGCAGATTATATGATAACGGTTAAGTACAACACCTGTCTATAACAAAGTATCGTCAGGGATGGCTTTACTACTGTAATAAAGCATGAAACCACCGTTGACTATGAAGGAACACTTAGTCCTGCTGATTGTGTCATTTCTACTTCTTCATTTCGCAAAAGCGTCAAGTAAGTAAACAAGTCACGTCATTTTGCTTAATTGTTAGTCAAAATAACAGCACTGTTTTTACTATATGTACATATCCAAGTTATTGTATTGTCGTGTACAATGGACGTATGATATCTTACGTTTGTATTGGTTCACTAACGCACCGCTTGGTGATGCGTTGTTTTTGTCATTTTTGTCGAGTATTCACCTGAACATTGAATTACTAGTTCTTTCCCCCTGAATAAGACAAATTAGGCATACCGATAGTTACAACTGCTATTTGTTTGACGTTCATTTTGTGTGACTAGACCGATTCATCCGTTGTGCGTAAAGTGTGTAAAGTGTGACTGGCTAGAGTTATGCTACCGTGTCGAGGTACGCCAACCTGTACTTACTTAGGCATGTCTGTATTTTGAGATGTCGTCATTATCACGTTTAAGTTCCAGATTATTTGTGTGACTCAGTCATAGTATTATGAACGCGAATTTAATTTAATAATGAGTCTATCTATGGAGAAGTGAAATATTTTCATGTTAAAAAGATTCGAATGACAAAATGATTTCCATATGATGTTGTGAGGTATATTTATATACAAATATTTATATACAACATTGTGATATATGCATCCTACCGTTATCACATATGACGGTCAAGAGCAAAATAATCAATCTGGAGACAAACTGCAGTCCTCAAAGTTTGTACTATTTTCTATCTACTTGACGTGCAGCTTTGAATGGGTGGCGGTAGAGATTGCTTATTCAGTTCTCAGTAAGTGTGACCAGGCAGAGTGGCATTCTACCGTTTCAAGATCAATAATGTCCTTTAGTAGTTAGAACATAGACATCCTAGTTCTGCTTGGTAATTTTAACTGGCATTATGAAGCAAAGTTGGTCACAATACAACAAGAAGTCATCGGATCAAAGGTCAAGGTCAGATTTTGATTATTTTAACTACTTAACATTTTGTTATGACATGACGAAGCAAAGTTGATCAGGATTAAACAAGGAGTCAACTGATCAAAGGTCAAGGTTATCGGGTCAGATATAAAGATAACTGGGTCAAAGGTTAAGGTCAAATTTTGTAGCTTTTCACGAATGACCATTTTATGACATGAAGCAAAGTTGGTCGGAATTAAACGAAGATACACACTGAGGTAAAAAGTACAGGTCCAAGGTCATTAGGTTCAAAGGTCAAGGTCAAATTTAGCATCTTTTCACTGATGAACATTTTGATATGACATGATGAAGCAAAGTTGATCACAATTAAACAAGGAGTCATTTGACTCGAGGTCAATGTAACTGGGTCAAAAATCAATGTCAAATTATGTATCTTGTCAATTAGGAACATTTTGTTATGACATTATGAAGCAAAGTTGGTCGGAATTTAACAAAGTCAACTTACTTAAGGTCAAGGGGTCAAAGGTCAATGTCAAATCTAGTATATTTTCACTGGTGAACATTTCGTTATGACACTTTGAAGCAATGTTGTTTGGAATTTAATGTTTAATGTTGTTTAAACAAGGAGTCATTTGACCAAAGGTCAAGGTCACTGAGTCAAATTTTGTATCTTTTCACTGATGAACATTTTGTTATGACATTATGAAGCAATGTTGGTCGGAATTTTAATAGAAGTCACTGACTGAAGATCAAGGTCACTAGGTCAATGTCAAGGTCAATTATTGTATCTTTTTACTGATAAACATTTTTGTTATGTTATTATGAAGCAAAGTTGTTCAGAACTTAACACAGAGTCAACTGACCAAAGGTCCTGGCTACGGGGTCCAAAGGTTCAAGGTCAATGTCAAGTTTTATAATATTTACTGATGAACATTTTGTTAAGTTGGTCGGAATTAAAGAACAAGTCAACTGAAAAAAGATCAGGTCACTGGGTTAAAGGTCAAGGTCATTTGGGTCAAAAGGTCAAAGACAAAGTGGATCTCTTGTCTTTGACCCTGGCTCTTGATGGAGGGGGGGGGGGGGGGTATTTAAGGGGAAATAAAACAAATGTAACAAATGAGTATAGCACCGGTATTTACATTTCTGTTAGCCCAGCAAATATGGAGGCACAAGACGGCAAGACTCACATCATAGTACATGTAGCATGTATATTTTGCTTCCTTGCGATTCTTTTAGAAATACAATTGTCAAACGTCAAACTCATCTATATGGGCAGATTGATTCTTGATGATTATGGGGGATATATTGCCACAAGACGGGACCCTTACTGACCTGTCATTGTTCTAGTCTATTTATAGTAACGGTGACTTTGACCTTTGTCCGTTAGACCTGAAATGTTATCCAAAGTAAGCTTTATTGGTAAGAAAGCACTGAATGAAGACCGAGCTCGAGCAACTTAAAGGAACTCGAGTTATCGCACGGAAATAGACGTTCTATTTATAGTAGCTTTGACCTTGACCTTAGGACCAGAAAAGTAATCCCAAATAAGCACTATTGGTAAGAAAGCACAGTATAAATTCTTAGCTCGATCGACCGAAAAAAATCAAGTTATCGCACGGAAACATATTTTATGTAAACAAGGAAAAGTTAACGGCAAAAATTAAGTACAGTGTTGCTATGTCAAGTGTGATACGCCAAAACGCTGAAAGTTGAAACTCGACAGAAAAACCCGTATTACTTGTTTAACATTATAACTTTTAGCATTACCATACCAAATTTAAAAGGAATTGATTAAAAAATAAATCAGTTCATGTATTTACTACTCAATGTCTTTATTTGGCTATGAAAGGAGCATAGCCCCGCAATGAAAATGTGACAAAACTGCCGAATAGCATTTAAATATCACGATTTCAGATCTCATCCAGTGCATTCAGGTAATGAAACATCCGAACAAGTTTGACAAAAATAGAAGAACGATTGTTTGAGTAATCTCGTAAACAAGCGAAAATAACGGCAAAAATGAAGTACAGTGTTGCTAAGTCAGGTGCAATTTGCCAAAACGCGGAAAGTTGAAACTCGATAGAAAAACCCGTATTATATGTTGACCATTATTGCGTCTAGCATAACCGTACACAATGTTATAGGAATTGATTAAAACAAAATACTTGCATTTACTACACAATGCCCCTATTTGGCAATAAAAGGGGCATAACTCCACAACAAAATGCACGTAAACTTCTGAAATACAAACTTGTCCGAGCTTAATTGGTATGCACTATTTGTACAAAGTTTGAGTTAATCAAACTCAGGACACTCAAGTTGTCGCACGGAAACCTTGTCTCGGAGGACGCAACCGAAGTTATACCTATATGTCGCCTGCAACCATATGTCGCCTGGTGTTGCAGGCGACACAAAAATCACCTCTGCAGGTCGGGGATCGAGATAAGTATACACCTGTTTTTACCCACTGTATGTATCGACTAACGAAGGAGCCCTCCATAATTTAAAATTCGATTTTGTGCCCTGTACTTAAGGACATTAAAAAAGACACCTTACTTTTGGCTTTAATGTTGAGGTGATGAAGGCAGAGTGTTCTAAGGAACTCTAAAGCGACAAATATTAATCAGCTGTTCCCTTTGTAATAATTTGGATATTAATCTTTCTCTTTACTTCTACATTCTTTCATTTCCAAACGCGTTACTTGGCAGTACTTCACGTTTGGCTTTTATGTTGAGTGTTTAACTAGGTGAGGAAGGCAATGGTATTTTTCCGAAAGCCTCTCGGGACATACCAGAGTCCTTAAAATTGGTAGTTGTTATTCCCTGCTTAACGTTCAGCATTACGGGTAATGATAATAAGTGGTTCTCTCGTTGTCAGCATAATGTGACCAGGCGGAATGCTTAAAGCAAAGCATGATCAATTCCGATATAGATATGACGACATTTTCAAATCCAATCTTCTGTTTGCAGGCTATGTATCTAGCTTTTACCCGAACTGGGGCAGTTTGGGAGGAGGAACACAAATCACCATCGAAGGAACAGGATTCTCAAAGAACTCGTTTAACCATTTCCCTGGAACAGAACACCTAGGAAACAAGGTGGTTTTTTTTACTACACATTATCTGTTTCCATGTGATGTCATCCTTGAAAAAACAACCACAACCCGTGTAATCTGCGTTACTAGGTGAGTAAATGTGTAGTTATATATATTTAATATGTTTCTTTATCTGTTGTTATACACTTTCCATTTGCGTTGCAATATTTTTATACCCAAGATAAACATACCGTTGCACAATATGTCGCAAAACGTGGGATATACCTACATTCGTGGTATTTTCTAAACTTTATACACTTCATCGATGTTTGTGATCAATTCCAATTTTGACTTTAGATCCGCGCTATCGCCCCTAGACGAATACGTTACCAATGTCTCCAGCAGACATACACACATACACGCATACGTTACACACATGCATGCCTTATAATGCATTAGCGTTAAACAGAGTGTTTAAAACCAATATGTGCATGCAGAAAGGAATTCGCGACTTCTTTTCCTGATTATGGTACCCTTGAAACTTCATTTTTTAAAAACCTTTTTGAAAGCGCAACTCCTCTTTAACAAGATGGATGTGATTGGGGATGAGAAGTAACATATTCGAAACAACTGGTTTACTCGTTAGCATTGCAATGTTACCGGGTGGAATACTATGTTGGGTGCCCTCGGCATGGTATTTCAGTAAATCATTATAGAACCTGCATAATATTTATGCTATCGCACGGATGCAGATACACCAACATTCCGTCTCCTCTTAAACATATTATAACAAAATCTACCTGTTCTGTCTGTTAAATAGGTATTTTCAACCCTAATTCGTGAGCTTTTCATATCACCTTTCGTCAGTGGTTTGTGCGTCAACAATGCTTGGTATCGTCGGTTCATTTAGCCAACATGAGATAATTTATACAAAAATACATCCAAAAACATTGATGCAAAGCGTCGTCAAACATTGCTTTGTTACATGCAACTGCTGTATGTAAAATGTTGGATATTTGGAGCGATAAGATAATAATACTAAAATTAAAGATAAAACAATCATCATTTGATCATCAAGTACATATTAAGAAATGGAAGAATAAAAAAATAAGACATTGCAGTGAACAGTTTTATTTATAAAGATGTATAAGTTGATGTTAACTAGATATGCTTTCAGTGCGTTTTTATGACGACTGGTATGTATAACATTTGGTTTGGTTTAATTTTGTTTAACGTCCCATTAACAGCTAAGGTAATGTGTTTAGTGTATGCGTGCTTGCGTGTGTGTATGCAAGATACGGGGTATGTTGGTTTGCTTGCCTCCTTGTGATAGTGCGGATCTGATGCCGACTTTATAGTGCTATCTCAGTGAAATACTATGCCGAAGGCAACCAGCACAGCATTCCGCCCGGTCACATTGTACTGACAACGGGTGAACCAGTTGTTGCCATTTCCCTAACCATTGCCTTCCTCACCTGAGCGAACGCTCAACATTCAAGCCAAAAGTGAGGTGTTGCAAAGCAAGGCGATAGAAAATAAAATAAAGAAAGATAAAGATCCAAAATATTGCAATTGGCGCTGCAGATTTATTATGATCGCTTTATTGCCCCAAATAGAGGACACCAAAGCAAATCCCCGATTCTGCAGGGGGTTCCTTCATCAGTCGCCTCATACGATACATGCAATAGGTATTGTAACAACGCCAGACGATATACCATTTCCTGAAACACCTACCTGAATCTTTAATAAAATATACAAAACTGGCAAAGTCCCTGATTCATGAAAAAAAAAATACAATGAATATTCCTCTTCCTAAACCAGGAAAGGACACCACTGATCCTTCTAACTATCGCCCAATAGCACCTACAACTTATATTTGTAAAACGCTACGAGCGAATGATGGTTTTTGGAGTCAAATAACATCATATCACAACTTCAAAGTGGTTTTCTATCCAGAAGAGGTACTAACGAATATTTGGTTAGACTTGAAACCTTTATGCAGGAGGCTTTTCTAAAGAAGGAGCATCTAGTTGCTGTTTTTCTTTTGACACCACGTGAAAATACGGAATCATGAAAGATCTGCACGAAACAGGTATTCCATGTAGAGGTAATTTACCCAATTCTATTTTAAGCTTTCTATCAGACAGGGTATTTCAAGTTCGGAACGGAACGACTCTTTCTGATCTCCATGAGCAGGAAGGGGGTGTGGCCGCAGGGAAGCATTCTTTCTGTAACACTTTTTGGTCCGAAAATAAATAATATTGTCAAAAAGTTGTCTCCATCTAAGCACCCTGCAGATAGGGCGTAAGAATTGTACCTGCTGCCCCCAATTGCATGATCGTTAGAGGCGACTAAATTTGGGACCTTATCTCTTCTCTCCTTTCTAAATACCTGTCTTCTTCCTAATGTCTCCCTTGACAATGCCTCACTTTTGGCAATTTGTTGAGCTTTCGCCCCTGTGAGGAAGGCTTTGGGTTATGTCCCCTGGCCGAGACATACCAAAGTCTTTAACAATGGTAGTTTCTACTCCTGCTTAACGCTCAGCAAATTAGGAGTGGGACGACTGGTTCGCCCGTTGTCATTATAATGTGACCGTGTGGGGCGTCCTGCTGGTTGTCTTCGGCAGTATGTTTCAGTGAGGTAGCACTATAAAGTCGGCATCAGTTCCGCGCTATCACAAGGAGACAAACACGAACATATCGCAGCCTCCCAAAAAACACACACATACACTTCACGCATGCATCTTGCACACAGGGGAGGCCGTCCTTAAATGACCTTAGCAGTTAATAGGACGTTAAACAAAATCAAACAAACAAACAAACTATAGAGGGCTCTCTTTCCGTGGATGACTTTCTTATATGCTACCGGTAAAAAAGTATGAATGGTTTGGTTTACTGTTGTTTAAAGTCCTATTAACAGCTATGGTCATTAAATGACCATAGCTGTTGACAGGATGTTAAACAATACTAAACCAAACCAAACAAAGATAACTCATTTTTCTATACACAGTCGTTATGATCTCCTGGATCAGAGGAGCGGGGCCAAATATGGGCAATAAAGACAACACCTTTAAAATCCTTGTTCTACTGTAAGAAAACAGGGATTTTATCCGAATTTATTCTGGAGAATACTTAGACCAAGGGGACTGTTTTGCATAAACGGTTGTTTTGGACACCCTATTGGGAAATAGAGGTAAAACCTTTCCTTTTCTCTCCTACCATAGGGATTAAGGGAATTATCTTAATTTGGTCTGGAACATCATAGGGCAAAGGGGACTCAATTTTGAATAAATGATGGGGTTAGCCCCCCTGGGGGTAGAGGAGCGGGGACCAAAAGGGGAAATAGAGGTTAAACCTTTCTATTTCTTCTACCATATATAGGGCCTAAGGATTTCATCCTTGTTTGGTCTGGATCATCCTTTGGCAAAGGGGACTCAATTTTGTATAAACAGTGGATTTGACCCCTTGATCAAAGGAGCGGGGCCCAAGAGGGGCAATAGAAGTAGCACCTTTTAAATCCTAATGCTACTGTAGGGATGGAAGGACTCTTATCCTAATTTCTTCTCGAGAATCCTTAGGCTACGGGGAATCAACAGTGGATGTGCCACCCCCTCCCCCTCTTTGAGTCAGAGAGGTGGGTCGAATAGGGGAAATAAAGGTAAAACCTTTCAAATCCTACCCATACCATAGAAATTAATGGATTTTATCCTAATTTGGTCTGGCGAGTCCTTGGGCAAAGGGGACTTGATTATGTATGAACGGTGGGTGTGGGGAGGGGCTCAAAGGGGAATTTGATATTTAAGTTTTCAAAATCAATCTTCCTCTGTATATACCATTTGAGGGTTTTTATTCAACTTTGGTCTGGAGCATCCTTGGGCAAAGAGGACTACATTTTGTATAAAAAAATGGTGTGGCCCCTCTTGGTGCCGATTGGCGGGACTCTCTTTCTGTACTTTTGAAGGGATTTATGTAATAAGAATAATTGCCCATGGTTGCTTTATGATCAAGGTGAGGGATACAGATCCTATATTAATAAATTTGGTATGTCCCTGCAAGGGGAACGAACCCATTGCATTCCTCACCTTGGCGAACGTTCAACAGCAAAGCCAAAGTTTATTAGAAGTAGAGAGAAACACGGAGATCTCCCGGTAGAGGGCACAAACGCAATCCTAAATTCTGCAGGGGGTTTACTCATTTGCCGCCTCCTTCGACTAGTGTATTGTCAAAAATTGAGCTCCGTTTGCCAAGGGATGCGTTGGACCAATTTCAATGAAAAACCTCAAATCGTACTGCAGGAAAAGGTTAATGGCCTAAGCTGTTATTAACACGTTAAAGCAAATATAACCAAAGCAAACCAAACTCAGATTCCCCTGTTTGGCCCCATCCCTCTACCTCCAGGGGTCACACCATTCGTTTATTCAAAATTGAGTCCCCTTTGCTTTAGGATGTTTTAAAAAAAATGTTTTTAAAATCCCTGCAATCGTACTTTAAAAAAATATTTTATTCATTTATTTCTATATAACCCCTATTGGGCCCTTCGATTAGGTGAGCTTAAATGCGCCGTAAACTCAACCAACAACAATATTAACTTTAAAGTAGATTTTGTTTATTTGGTTAATTTTTGTAAAGTCCTATGAAGTAGAGTTATACATTACATGAACAACAAAACAGCAGAGACCACACAACGAAGCAGGTCGACATTCAAGGGAATATTGAAACGATTACGTGTAACGAGAAGGAAACATTATTCTGTTGTATGTGGTATTGCGGTATTTATTCTTAATGAATTGCAGAATTCTGGGCAACTTCATGGTTATAGATGAATGCATAACAAATTCGGCTGGTTTTACTTTTCTCCGCGACAAGGTGTATCATCTTTTAAAAATTATAGATCCAAATGTGGTTTTAAGGCAGAAACGGAAACGACTACGTAGATGGCAATAGGTTAGTGATGGTCCTGCTTACGTATGGCATGTTGGATTTCCTATCAGCTTCCTGTTCATTCAAAGATATAAAAATTGTAAAGAACCAAATAAAGCTATACATTTTTGTGTTCAGCATAGAAAAACAAGTGAAACGAGATGCCATACTTGAAAAAATATTAATATTTAAGAGAAAAAATAACAGAAGAAGAGGATTCCCCTGACAAGTAGTCCGGTTGTTATCACACACCCGTGTGATACAAACATTTGTATCACACAGCTTGAATTGACCATTTATCAGCCAGGAAGATTGTATTGGTATGTAATAGGAACGAAAATAGAGTTCCTTGTTTTTAAATATATACATATTTCGCCTTTTTTTCTTGAAAACCTCGCTATAAAATGACGAAAACAGATAAAAACGTAATTTTATCGTGAAAATCGGGTCGTTATTTACTCGAATTGAGGTAACTGGCGAGTGCTACCTAGCTTACCTAGTTGCAATGAACAAGCAATCTTAACTTATATTAACAAAACGATTGCGTTCATCCAACTATACGTATGCGATTCAAGCTTCTTCGTGGCCGAAATGGCATGAAATTGGTTTCGGACCGATTCTAATTTAAACTGTACTTAATTCACAAAAGGTTATTTTTGTTTATCAAAAAGGGAACTAAAAATCCTTGTATAAAAAGCAAAACAAATATCTAACTTTTCTCTCATCATTTGGGTCTTTACTTCGGATGAAACATCCTCAAGGAATACCTAAAACTCTTCTTCATTCATGGTTCAACTAGTACTATGCAAACGTGAAACCGCTTTTTATAACAATTTTCGCGTTATTTTGCGAAAGTTTAGCGTTATGACGCGTTAGTTTCGCGTTATTTCGCTATTACACTACGAAAATAAGCTCAATAGGCTTTATACAAAAAAGTTTTAAATTTCTTTTTTTTTCGATCTAAAAACCTTTCTCTGTATCTAAATGTAGCCACTCTTGATTTTTCAAGTTTACATTTGTCTTTTAACTTCGTCTTTTAACATGTTTTAACCATTTATTTGCCTTAATGGCCTCTTCTGTGATGCAACAGTAATTATTCAAATTGATCTGCAGAAACATGAACGCACTCTTTTGTATTTGCAATAATGACTGAAAATTGGCTTCATACAGCAATATCACCAAGGCACCGTATGCTTAAACATAATTAAATTTTCACGTTTGTCTCATTTTAGGGCCGGTATGCCAAGTGACTACTTCAGTATCAAGGTTACTGTGGATGGTGAAGTTATTCCGACATGTCACGCAGGAAATAGCAACTGTAGATACCGAGTACGTTGTTTTTTCTACCTTTATTCATAGCATTTGAGTTAAATAGTATGATTTTATACTGTTACACAGTTTAGTACGTACTTATAGATTACCTCACTATGTTTTCACGGTATTCCTAGAGCACAATTTTCTCATCGTGTGCACATGGATAAAATCAAGAGGCAACCGCAGGTTAGCTTGAGATGTTATTTTCATGCAGACGATATTTGAACGACAAACCCGGAAAACAATTATTGATAATATTTTATCATCTTTATACTACATCCTTAATTATTTTCTTCACTAATAAAGATTATAATTAAAATTAGTATTGGATTATAAACGGCCGATCAAAACAAAAGAGTACATTTGTACTGATCATCGAAGCAATGTAATCAAAGACAATCTTATCATAAGGTGCTCCGATTGCAAAATCATTTGCGCTGTAATGTTGTTATTTTCCTCACTACATCTAAAAATAATTCGCACAATAAAAAAAATTTGCTGAATTCTTATTGGTCAACAACTTCCCGCACTATAAATATGGCCAGATTTGAAGGAAACATACTAAATATGTATAGTACATGAAAAGGAAAAAAACTAAGGTTAAATTGAGACAAAATCTGCGTAAAATGAAGGGTCATTTCATAATAGCCCTGCTATAACGCACTTCATGTTGTAAGAGACGAATAATGCAGAATCGGGAGTTTACCTTTAGATCTTCTAATGATAGGATAGACTTAGATATGAACGGAAATAAACATGTTCATTTACAACCCATTCGATACAAATGCATTAACTTTTGTGACAAACTAAGGTCTACCAGGCTTAAACAAACATGTTAATATGATAATTGAATAGCATTTAATTAACTCTAACTTAAAATGATATTGACGTTTTGGAACGAATGCGGCACAGAGAGCTTGTATGCATTAGTTATGGAGTACATACAGGCCAAATTGTGTAACGGTTCACGTGTCAGTCAATTAGGGCTTGGATAATGGGTAATCAACTAACGGACAGTCACCCCGCATGTATAGACAATGGGTTCAACGTATAAGCACATAAATCCATGTCTCAGCTTATATTAGTGTACGGGGTTACGTGCATGTTGGATACAGAAACAAAACTGCCTACATAAGCACAAACCGGTAAATAGAGATAGCTACGACTGACGTGTTTGGTGCTGACCAAAACAGAGTTAGGAAGTTAGGAGGTTATATTACTTTACGTAGATGAGATGATGTTGCACCTGAACATGGATTTGTAATAAGATTGATGATTAACATCAACCATGGCTCTTACAAACTATTGCGTGCGTGTACGGCTACTGTGTCATACATTCAAGTTGGTGATGTTCATTATACAAAGTCAATGCAATTTTCAATATAATAATCCTATTGGAAGTATTTTTAGATATGTTTTGTTTTAGGTTTTTTTGGTTTGGTTTAACTTTTTGTTTAAGGATGTACTCTTCTGAGGTTTCAGTCACGTTCAAGTCTCGCTTTGATCTGGTGTAACGGGTTTTTGTAATATTTAACAAATTATGATACGTTTAATAGCAAACACACATCTGAAAAACATGTCAAACAACTAGATGTCTGTTGTGTGTAGAACATGTTTTACAAGAATTTAAAAAAGATGACCAATTTGGCGGCCATTATTAAAAAGTGTATTAAGGGCAAAAATTTACTTTTTTGACACTAGATTGATCACTTAAATTGTCATTGTGTCACCATTGTTAAATGTAGCAGGTTCAATTTTGCTATACAACTTTAAAATGTTCAATATGATTAAAATAATATGCCAAAAAGTGGAAAGTTATATATATATTTTTTTACATATTAGGGTAACTGAAGCACTTTTGATTTTTGACCCCGAAAAAGGTGAAAAATAACACAAATATTTAATGGGACAAAAAAAGAAGCACTCCGACCCCCCATTTTTGTGGCTGTTTTAGAAAGAGAAACACATTTTCTTTTGATTAATTGAATACTAAAAAAAGTTAAACACAGGATTTTTTTTATATCAAGCGTTTAATCTGCAAAAATGGTGAGAAAACATGCATTTTTTCATTTAAAAATAAGGGGTAGGGGTAACTAAAATCGCATTTCTGAGTAAAATGAATAAGATTAAGAAATTTTACTTCCATAATTTAAATGAAAATAATATTTTAATCAATTCTACAAACATTCATACATATCTGATAACACACTTGGAAGAAATTGTATGAATGTGTTCTGCGAATGGTCAAAACCCGAAAATTCACCTAAAATCACCTATTGTGTTAAATTGGTATCTTTGACCGATCATAGCACAAAAACGAACACACGGACATATTTTTTTTTGCATTTTCTACTATGCCGTTATCTCCTTTTTCCAAAAATCAATATAAGAAAAAAAGTTTAATACAGGAATTTTTTGACTTCTCAGAGGTGTACATCCTTAACGTCCTATTAACAGCTAAGGTCATTTAAGGACATGCCTCCATGTGTGTAGTATTTGCAAGTGTGTATGCAGGAGACAGGGTATGTTGTGTGCTTGCCTCCTTGTGAGAGCGCGGATCTAATGCCGACTTTATAGTGCTATATCAGTGAAATACCATGCCGAATGTACCCAGCACAGCATTCCGCCCGGTCACATTATACTGAAAACGGGTGAACCCTTAATTCTGAACGTTAAACAGGGAATAACAACTTCATTTTTAAGGACTTTGGTATGTCCAGGCCTGGGAACAGAACCCATTTGCTTCCTCACCTGGGCGAACGCTCAACATTTATATAACGATCCCAAATATTGCAATGGGTGCAGCAGCTTTATTTTGGTCGCTTTTTTAGCAAGTCCCCAATTCTGCAGGGGGTTCCCTCATTAGTCTACTTCTACGATACATGCAGTGTGTAACAGCAGATGTATTCTTTTGCCGATCCGCCACCTGAAGAGTAAAATATATTGCCAATACAAATATACAGTTTTGCATTGATGCTGTTTATGCCACCGTTCCAACCATGAAAAATGAAAATAAAGCAACTGTCCGTGCTTGATACATGCAAATATACATGTTTGTTTAAGCCATACACATCATATACGCCAACCATCACCGAGATCAGCCCCTCGTCTGGACCACCTGGTATGTATGCAGAAAAAACGTATACTTAAACTGATTTCTATTATAACGTTTTTTCGTGTTAGAGATGAACTTGTTTGTGCACCATGGAGGATACATAGGTACCAATCCATTGTCATTATCAGTTACCTTTCTATACACAAACCAAATAATATTTCCATATATCGCTTGATTGTTTAAGACAAGTTGAAATATATTTTCTCTCGCTTACACTTCTAATTGATATTCAATCAAAAACGTGCTTTTTAGTCACTGAGTACTGTTTTTTTTAAGCCAGCGAAGACCAACCATTTGTATGCATACTTATAATAATACTGTCTCTACAGGAACGTTGCTGACCATGAGAGGACAAATTTATACTTCTAAATACGGCATGAACGCCAGCACTAATGGAGATGCAGACGATGTAGCAAGGTGCGTCTAGAAGCTGCTAATGCATATACGAAATCTATTATTCATAAATATCTTCTTAACAACGTGAATCCATTTAATCGGATTTATTTAAGAGAGAAATCATCAGACTTTATCGAAAAATATTGTTTTATTTATTTCCTGAATAACACATGTAATTGGAACTTTCATTTTACAGAGTCACAGCAGGAGGCGATCTTTGTGAAATAGCATCTTCTAATGGTCAGAGGTAAGTTAATGTGCACCTTAACTCTTTCCGACAACAATATGTCATCTTGGTCCCCGTTGTCGTGTACAAACGGCAACATACTTTGGTGTAACTTGCCTCATGGTTAGCTGGTTATAGCACACGACAATCGCCTAATACAATTATTTGTCGCTAAAATCAGCACCCATCAGTTTGAAAGAAATAGTTGTATAGGTGCAGAGTACACAATTTATATTTTGTGACCTATTGTTTTCGAATCTGAAGCAAGATGTTAATTCGATATGAACACTCGAAAATTCATCACCAAATATTACCTAACGACTTCGTATTCGTCAACATTAATCATTCCCTATTAAGAACCTCCACTACAACGCTGTTTTGAAAACAAGGTTTTGTATCGTTTGTTACCGAACAGATGTTGATTTCTCAGCCATATTTAGCTGCCAGTCAGTCATAATGCTGCGAAAATGAAGAGGTGTGTGTCTATAAACAACAACATGAAACAATAACAATATCTGTTCACGGTTACCTGTTTAATTCTTGCAGCAATAACACCTCGTCCAAAAAGAACATTAACAATCCGCCATTTTGTTATTTGCGCGGGGGCGAGTCTAGTAAGGACATCCGGTACGGAATCCGAATGGATTTGCGGTACGGAATGAGTTGATGACGCCAGTCAGGAACTAATTTTATACTAAATAAGTATATATTAATTTAATTTAACAAAAGCCATTTTCGTAATGTTACTAAGTTCTGGATACTGGTAAAGATATGTCCATGCTGTCCTACTCCGTAAGCTAAACCTGCCTGAGTTGGCGTTCAGCAGTATTTCTCATATTGAGAAGATATGTTTTTCTGCGTTGGATATCTACAGTACCACTCGAATTACAACGAAGTATCGAGGGTTTTATGTACGTTTAATACATAAAATCATTTATCAAATGGATACCGTGTAATGCACAAGGAGACTACGATCAAACGTGTCTCGAATATAATGTAGGTGGTCTGGTTTTGGTTTTATGAGCTCACCTGGTTCAAAGGACCGGTGAGCTTATGCCATGGCGCAGCGACCGTCCGTCAACATTTCCTTTGTCTTGAACGTCTCCGTGGATTTGGACTACATTTGACCTGAATCATCATTGGCTAAGGTTACTCAATTGTGTATAAACGGAGGTTGTCCCCACAACTCCTCAAATAGAGGAAATTTAGGTAAATCTCTATAATCATGCATATGATATGTAAATCATGAAAATGATGTTAGCTATTGATATGACGTCAAATCCTTTAAAACCATACCCCGATTCGGCCCGCCCGTCTTCCCCCTTGGGAGATGAACATACTCACGCATCCGCTTTACCTGATGCTAAGAAGTTTAACAGATCAAACCAAACCTGTTTTTAAGGAAGAACGAGTTTAAATATGTATCTCTATTGGGGCCCCAACCCTCTACCACTACCACTAGAGGGGTCGCACTTTCTGTTTATACAAATGGAATTCCTTTGGCAAAGAATGTTTAGCATAACATTCCAAGTATTTATCATTATGCTCCCCCTGTTGGGCCCCGCACCTCTGTCCCCAGGTGAGGCAACATTTTCTGTTTACCCACCATTGAGTTCCCTTTGCATAAGGATGTTCTAGACAATATTTAGTTCAAGTCAATCCATTCGAGAGGAGTAGAAGTACATACTCGGTTAATACAAAATTGAGTCCATTTGCACAAAGTGTGTTTCGAACCTTTCAATCGTACTAAGGTCACAGGAATTAAAAGATTAAAACCTCACTACCCCCTATTGGGCGACACCATCCGTTTACATAAAAATATGTTTCCTTTGCCCAAGGATGCCGGACACAATATCTGTTCAGAATCCCTCAATTTGTAGAGAAAAGAGGAGTTTTAATCGGTCGTCTCTTTAATGTGCCCCGCCCCTCGGCCACCAGGGGAACTTTACCCTTTGTTTATATAAATTTGAATTCCCCTTGCCCGAAAAAGCTCTAAACAAAATTTGGTTCAAACCCCTCCATTCGTAAAGAAATAGCCCGTGCAGGTTCGGGGACAGAAAATGCATGCTGTATCCGACTGCATGATCGTAAAAGTCCATGTAATATATCTGACCGTCATCTGAATGTTTCACCAAGTAATTAATTTCAGTATACAATATATAAAGCAGAAATTGGCATGTTAACAGATATAAAAACCCAAACGTCTCGATTTTTTTACGACGTAGGACACGTCAAGTGGTACTCGCTAGTGTTCATATGATTTTTCAAAATCTCACATCGTATGTGTATACAAGTTTTTACTGTGTTATGTATGTTTTTTTCAATACCCCACCTGTAGCAATGGTATCGTATTGGACGGTAGCGGGGAAAGTAACAATGGTGTCTTAACCTGCCGGTTGAGCGAGTCGGGATCGCAAATAGGTAAAGTTTTCGTTGCTTCTCTCCTTATATATTGCATTTGAATGGAAATTTGAGTATTCAGTTAATAATATTAATAATATTTCGAGGTTCTTATATACCGCTTTATCGCAACCTAGTTCGTAGGTCGTCTCAAATCGGTTAACAAATTATCATCCGTGGTTATAGGGCCTTTGCAACCAGCCAATACCTTTCTCAACTCCATGGGGAGCATACAGTCGGAGCTGCCATTTCGGCGCTAACAGCTAGAATTCAACAATTCTAGCACTGCGTAACCACGTACTCATTTACAGCTGAGTAGCAAAGTAAATTATCTTGCTCAAAGATACAACACAGTGCCGTGCCGCTACTCGAACCCGCAACCCTTCGGTCACACGAGCCTGACATCCTACCACTAGACTACCGTGCCTCCAGTTGCCATAATTAAAGAAGTATCTACGTTGTATATCAATGCTTCGTCACAAATAATCATAATTAAACTGTGTAATTTTTTTTCAATAATCAAAAAGAAGTGTTGGGATATTATCTTACAAACACAAGAGTTGGGCATATTGATATTTATTCAAAGTGCAAGCTAGGTTATTTGACATTCTTGTTTTTGGAATTGTTTCAAAACTCGTTCCAACACTTATTTTTACAGGAAATTTGAATGTGAGCTACACATTGACAGCTCGAGGAAGGTTAGTGCATTTTATTTAATCTGAAGATTGTAATATAGGTCAATGCGAAGGTCGAAACAAATCATTAAGTTCATCGACGCAGTGAGGTCATTCTGTCCAAAAATGTTTATCTACGAGAAAAACAAACACAAATGTCCCAAAAGAGTAATTAAGTGACATAACTTCTTCGGTGTTGGTGCATATGAGCTAGTTAATTAAAACTTGCAATTGCAAGTTTATTTTCACTCACAGCTTCATTGCAGCCTCCAAAAACGCACACACACACGCTACACGCATGCATCTTGAACACAGGGGAGGGCGTCCTTAAAGGACCATAGCTGTTGATAGGAAGTTTATCAATACTAAACCAAACCGAACGAATTAAAACGTTTTTGATATTTTTTTCTGCTTCGAAACACAACAGATTTAGTCCAGGTATCTGATGCAATTTATAACATACTTGTAATTACAATATGCGATGTAAATATAATAGTACATGCTTACAATAGAATAAATACTCTCTCGATTGATCATGAGTCTTTTTCTGTTTTCATCATCATATATTTACTATTCTAAGGTAGAGGAGAATGAGGAATCAGGGAATGCTGTTGGTAATACATCTTCTTTCAGTTGTCTACCAAAACAATGAATACACCAACATGCCCTGTTTCCAGCACACATACATAGCACATATGGAGGCACGTCCTCAAACGACCTTAGCTATTAATAGGATGATAAACAAAAGAAACCTAATCTTAGCTTTAGCAATTTTTTTTTATGTCAGGTATTTGACCTCTGTGACATTGAAAGTAGACCTAATATCTTTGGTAGACCGAATAAGCCAGCCGTTCGACTTTCTTTTACATATTTGACCACGGTTACCTTGAATGTAGGCTGAGGTCCTTTTTTACAAATTTAGAGGAAGATATAACTATTTTTCAAGTCAAAGGTATGAAATAAGATTGAAGAATTGGTATATAACCAAAACATGTCTTCAATGTTAGCTGAAAGTCAATGCATTCTAATAATGAATGGTACAGCTACTACACAAACACACCGCTTCCAGCACACATCTTGATAGCTGAATATGTGTGATTTCAGCGATACCAACAAGTGAGATATTTTAATATATATTCAGTAACAGTTCTCAAATCAGAAGTTTCATTTTACCATGATTTTGGGAAATCATTTAGTATGTTAAGAATACTAAGTTAAAACCAAAAGACGGGGACATGATAACCATAATACCAGTTAAGTAAGTCCAGCACAAACAGGATATAGAATGAATACTCTTATGTTTATCTAACCACCAGCCACACAAGTTTCCCATTATTGAAGATAAAATCAACATTTAGTTAAAGAAGTATCTGAGGGTACCGACCGATTTAGTTTCAGAATGGCCCACTTTACTCGATGTAAGAAACAAACAAAACTATTTATCTTTTCAGTAAAAAGTTTGTTAATATGTTTTATTTTCACAGATCAAAGACAAATTTGAATCTTTATCGAGTATCCCGAAATGGTCAGATATTCATGTTCCAGAGTTATGCAGGTATGTTGAAGATCTATTTCCTTTTATATTATACACTTATTTATGTATTATGTTTGTCATACCTGGTGTATGAAGCACTTTTGAGGGGAATTATGGCCAATGTGTTTGAATATTTTTGTACGAATCCTGACTGTATTTTTAATAAAACGCATTCCTTGTCGGGTGGATATATGGTTAGAATCATAAGAAGACTTGTATGTAATATTCGTTTTCTTCTTAAACATGTATTTAAGTTGACATTTACACCGATGAAAAAAAGGAAGATTTCATTTAAATACACGGATCAATGTTATCTGTGTTATAGTACATGAGATGAAATTTGCGTTGTAAATTGGTTGTTTTTTTCACCGTTTCAGACCAAGTCATACTTACATATTGTTTAAACAGTATAACATCGATTGTTCGTGAAAGACAATGTCTTTCTGTGAAAAAATGTATCATATTTTTTTTTTCTTTTTCCATCACCAAATTGATATGGAAACACCCACTTTCAACGTCAATAATACAGCATACAAAATTTAGTATTTGCTTCTTTGATTGTGCAACCTGATACGCCGGCCGTTTTCACTAGGTTATTGTAAGCGTATGCCATGGTCAGCTTCTCCTGCATAACCAAAATACCCATGATGAGGATTTCAAGCGAGTAGCACACTGTGATGAAGAGCTACAATGTCTGTTCAAATTATTGACTTTGACCATCTCTCAAGGTCACTGGAGTCAAACGTTTATAAATCTTCAAACAAATTCTTTTGAATAACCAAAAGTCTCACGGTGATGATATTTGGCTTGTATCATGGTTCGATGAAGGACTTCAAAACTTATCCAACAGAATGGCCTTGAACACTTTCAAGGTTACTGTGTTCAAATAATTAAACTATTTTACCAAGTTCTTCTGAAGACCCTAATTGCCAAGAGTATTGATATTTGGCCAGTAGCGTGATGGGATGAATGGTTACAAAGTTTGGTCAAATTTTTAACCTTCACTAACTGTCAAGGTCACTGGGATCAAATTGGTATTAATATTTGGATAACCGCTTTTCAATAACCATTGACACTGTTTGATGATCTTTTGCCAGTTACATGCTTATATGAATGGCTACAAATGTTGTTCAAATTAATGACATTGGCCTACTTTCAAGATCACTGGGGTCTACTTAATATATGTAAACATATAAATTACCCCTTTTCAATAACCAAAAGGCACAGATTGATAAAATTAAGATGGTTGCATGGTGGGATTTAGTTCTATTAAGTTTGTTCAACTGAATGACGTTTGTAAAACTTGCAAGGTCACAGGGGCAAATTTGTTAAACTCTTATAAAAGGTTCCCTTAAACGACCAGGAGTCGAGGTAATGATGAGGTAAAGGTATAATATTTTCCGGGTAGTTTAGGATACATTATCAGATGATCATTAACGAATTGTATATTGAGTCATGGTATATTGCCTTATTTTCTTGTCATGATCTTTATTTTTTGTCTGTTACCATTGTTCGTATAGCCTTTCAGCTCGGATATCGGCCTTTTACTTGTTATTTTATTCATGTACTTTTAACTCTTTACAACCCAAAAATACCATAGGGTCCATATATGCGTGCTGTTTATTCAAAAATACCTTAACGTACATAAGTCACATTCCTATAAAGCCGATATCAGATCCTTGCTATAGACAATTACACCAACATACTTTGCTTCCTGCAAATTAACACATATGACACGTCCTTAAATTATCTTAACTGTTGATAGTACGTTAAACTCTGTACAACCAATGTTCGAATTGATTTTGTTTCATATTCTACCGAAATGTAATAATTTTCACTGGTTTATGTTATGCAGAAATAAATTCAGTTACTCCGTCATTTGGTAGTTCAGAGGGAGGAACAGTTATAACCATATCTGGAAATTATTTTGACCAGACCAGATCTGAGGCAGTTGTCAAAGTTGGGGGTAAGTATATATAAGTTTGCATTTTAAGTTTATACAAAAGTTATACTGGTTTTCTGACGTTTTAGACTATTTGTAGACAGTCGTAGACATCACGTGTTAATATATATTTTATAGTATAGGAATAGATAGCTGCTGTTTTGTGAACTTGTTTATCACAACAACTTTCATACATAAGCTCCGACTGGATATTCCTACGATGTTTTATTGAAATATTTTGTCTTGTCCCCCTTGCTACAAATGTTGTTTTGTTTAATATGGAAATCATCCAAATTATTTCAGATACACGATGTCACGTGATAACTATCAATGCCACGACAATAATGTGTAAAACTGCCCGGAAACCAGAAACGACCAATGGACTTTACCCAGGTAATTCATTAATTTGTAAATATAAATAGGAAGACACGCTCATTGGCGAACAGTTGGGGTTTCAAACATATTTTATAAGTTGACCATTGACTATTACCCGATATGTGTAGTGTAACTTCATTACATAATACAACTAGAAATATGTCAGAATGACATGAAAGTCACCCAATCATACTTATTTTTACCTGTCAATCAAAATGGTAACCAATGACCAGGTGTACATACATACACGCTGTTCAGGTAGCCATGCCAACACATGAAGTTAATAAGAAAGAATGTCGGAAATATGACGTTAGCGTTAACCGACACCTCGAATACGGTAAAATCTGCGCGCTGACACAGTCACCTGGCATGGGCAGAACAGGTAATTGGAATATAACGATGTTGTTTTTCACAACAATAAGTTTCAGAAAAGGTTCAATCTTATATACGGATAAATCTTTTACTTTTTATTGTTATGAAATACACTTTTCCAAGTAGTTTTCTGAACGTCTGCAAATCTGACTGCATCAGTCATCGATATCGACAGAGTGTGCACGCTTAAAGGCAGTCACTCAAACAGGCCCGACGACGTAACATTATCGGTTCAATTCGCATGGATGTCACCTTGTAAAATCCTGCCGGTTAATAGTATCACGCGACATTGACTCTTTGCGGTACACAAACTTTGTCACTTTACCCATGTCGTTTTGACACATTCCTTGCCATACCAAACAAGAGATCAGAATTACGTTACCCAAAAATGACAATTCAACCACAGAGTGATAAATGCGGTGCAATTCTTCGTTGTTTACCCATACGTGATATTTATCAATTCCCAACGTCGTTGGTCAGACATAAAAATCTAAATCAATCAATAGCAATTTATAATACGATAAGTTTACCCCTTCGGGAACCTCAACGGTGCCCGATTCATACTCGGAACATATTTAGGCTATATGTAATTCCCGTGTGAAATTTGGAACGTCTTTAGGTTTTATGCTTTTCCTGTTTAAAAAGGAAATCGATAGCTGAGTTATCCAAGAACTTCTAATTAGCGCCTGGTATATTCCGACATAAGCATACACTTAACAGCCAAAGACAACAGAGGTCAAAATCTGGGGCTGAAACCGAAATTAATAGTCCCCACTGGGGTTCCCCCAGGGGTGACTAAAAAACGTTGATGGAGACTTTAAAGTCACTACAGTTTGAACAAGGTATATACAGTATATACAGGGTAAACAATTTAAGTAAAACACGATTTCAATATAAATGGACACAGTTGCTGAGAATGCAATAGTACGTTCAATGGCTACTCTAAATAACGCAAACATTTTTAAGGGGATGCTTGATAGTAGCCAAAAGAGTATTGCATTCCACAATTGAACCAGAAAGAAAATGCTTCATAGGGGCTGCTTTCATTTATCGAGATTCAAACGGTAGAACCGGTTGGACACGAGTTGTTCGTTTAAGAAATAATGCATCACAAGTGGTACAAATTACTTCGCATTCACACATTGTGTGACAAATATATGAGGAAATGAATAGAAAATTGTATTATGTAACAGTATCTTTTCTAGCGACTGCATCTGTTGAAGGTATTGCCATGGCAAACACCTCTATCGAGTTTCATGAGGAATGAAGTCGCTAGAATGATGGCAACATCTTTTCTAAAAGTAGGAAAGGTGACCATGACCTTCAACGTAGAAACCCGAAACGCAAACTTGTTCAAGGCATTGCCATACCAAACACTTGCATACAGTTCAGGAAATTCCGTTCAGGAATGAAGTCACTAGAGCGATGACAAAGACTGAAACATGCATACATACGTACGGGCTGAATCCTATATCCCCCTCGCAACGAGAGTTTTACCTAGTAATCAGATGCCGTTTCCAGACGAGCCTTAACAAAGCCTTGCAAGGCATGCATAAACCTTTGCAAGTCCGCCAGTATTTCTACAAAAAAGGTTAAATATAAAAACAGACGAATCGGTTGTTTCGCGAAAACAAAACAGGTCCAAGCTGTTCAGTTCACTTGTTTTGAGGGACCATAAATAGTGGCGCGGCTTCCGTCAACTTTTCTATTTTTAAACGCTATTTCACCTAAATTGCTCGGTGGAACTCAATTTGATAAAAAAAAATATACTATTTTACACCCATCTCCTATAACGAGGCAGAAGGTAGAGACAAATTCGGGGATAGATATGTGTATACATATTCAGAACAATGTGTTATTCGGCAAACGTAGGGAACTCAATGTTGTATAAGTTGAGTATGTGAGAAAAAAGGGATACCATTTTCGAAGGATGTTTTTTTTAATTGCATTTGGTATAGAGCATCTTTTGAAAAGGGGGAGAAAATTTGCGTATATAACGGAGGGCGTGGATTCCTATGGGGCAGAGGGAGGTAAAACGTAATGTGGTTTAGTTTGATACGGTTATATTTGAACTTTGTATGAAGGTTTAAGAGCTAAGGTCATTAGGAGAATATATGTAATGCACGCGTAAATGTGTGTATGAGTGCTGGAGGCAAACTATATTGGTTTAAATGGCTCCCTGCGATAGCGCGGATTTGATGCTGACTTTATAGTGGTATCTCACTGAAATTATATATAAGGTAACCATAGGATATAAGACACTAAGATGCATTTTTACAACAATAATAGGATTTGAAATTGTTCAGGATTACCATACACTGCAAACTGGATAAAGATTTAAAAAATGACGACAAAATAATTAAGTCAACATTAGATAACGTTATCACAAGGAGGTAAATACACACGTGTACCTGTCCTCCATCACTATCACACACATTGTACACACCGTAGCTGTTGATATGACTTTACACATATTTATCTAAAATAAAAGGAGAATACAATATTTCGATATAGAGCGCCACAAATGCGATAACGAAATGGCGGGGGCAATTAAGGTCATAGGAGTGTATTGATAAACGGAAATAGGAAGTACATCCCTAGTTGAAAATCCAATGTAGGGAGACAGTATCACAATTTCCGCATATTCTAATGTTTAATATTAAACTGATGAATATTGTATGTTTATTATTGACAGAAATGCAATACTAAGCTATGGCAGTATCAGTTTTATTGACATTATTTTGCCAAAAATTACTCTTTCATTTTTTTTAAAATTCACTCCTTTTTAAATAGGTTTCCATTTAAAATCCTTAAAATTCTGTCAACCTGTACTTTTTTGGTGGCAGAACATTTTCTTTATTTCAAAGCAATATAGCTACAAAATTTGAAAAATATATACTGAGAAATGGTGACACAATCCTATTACCTTAACATTAACATTTAAGAAAATTGTCATATTTACAGGTTGACTTGCATTATTTGTAAAACAAATTATCATTTTCAATGCATCTAATATAGTGAATATATTGTGATATTTCAGTCAATAAAATATTTCTTTTCGTCAATTTTGAGTGGTATTTAACGTAAAGGTAGTTTACGTCATAGATACCATAACTTCAGCAATCGTTTAAACTGACAGCAGTTTCCTTAAATTTTCGAAATCATGGAAATTTGATAAATTATGTGATTTTCAGGAAACAGAGGCTTCATTGTAGAGTCCTGGAAAGACACACTCGAAAGCAACTTAACAATGGTAAAGAATTTGAATGAAAGTGCGCCTGACTATCAAACGACGTTCTCTGATACAACACACATCCCCGGTTACAATACATCTAGCAACTATGTCAACCGAATGAGAGGGTTTTTCTTTCCTCCTTTTGATGGTGAATATCAGTTTGTTATCGCGTCAGCAGCGGGAGTCCAGTTCTACCTTAGTTCGGATACAGATCCAGCAAATTTGGTAAGTTCACGTTTGTTATATTATGCTTACCTATATTTATTTACGATCCAAAAGTTACCTTTTTTAGCCGGCTAGGTGAGCTTATGCCGTACTGCGGCGTCCGTCAACTTTTGAACGACTTTTTCAGAAGAACTGGAAAACCTAGGGTCATAATATTTGGCCAATAGGTACCTTTGATAAAGTGCTATACAGTTATTTTAGGTCACCTTAAATATGTATGATAGATATTTAATAAGGTGGTTTGTTTGTCACTTTGAATAATATTTCTGTTGTTTAAAAAACAAAAATCAACTCTCTGTATAAATATATCAGAACTCGGGTGACCGTTATGGACCATTGGCCTCTTGTTCATAATAATTACATTGACCTACAGGGGACAAATAAGTTTAAAACTTCAAACAACTATATCTGAAGAACCATTTGAACTAGCGTCATGATACTTGAGTATGTTATGAAGACAAGCAGTGTGAATCGTTTCCTTAAGTACAGTAATGAGGTCAAAGGTCAACTTTAAGTGCAAGTCGGACGTCAAATGTCAACATTGTTAAAGCTTTAACAATCTTCCATAAGGCTTAGGGGCATGATATTTGGCTAGAAGATACCTGGCCTATCACAAGGAAGCAAGCACATAACATTCCCTGTCTCATGCATACACACACGCAAGCACACGTACACTACACACGTCCTTAACTGACGTTAGTTGTTAATAGGACGTTAAACAAAATTAAACCAAACCTGTGATAGAATTGCAATAAAGTTTCCTCATTAAAATGACCTTGATCTACTTTCACAGGGGTCAAACATGTTAAAAACTTCAAACAACGATAACCTAAGAACCATTTAGACAAGAGTCATAATACTTGGGTATGTTATGTAGATTAGGGGCGTGATTTGTTTTTTAACAACTTTCTTCTTCCATATGCCTGCCTTGATAGTGACTCACTCTTAGTCTTTAGTCGTGCGGTCGGCCCCTGCGAGGAACAATTTTGGGTCTGTCCCCTGGCCGAGACATACCAGAGTCTGTGAAAATGGTAATTTCTACTCCTGCTTAACGCTCAGCAATTAAGGAGTGGGACGACTGGTTCGCCCATTATCAGTATAATGTGTCTGGCTGGGGTGTCCTGCTGGGTGTCTTCGACAGTATGTTTCAGTAATGTAGCACTATAAAGTCGCAATCAGTTCTGCGCTATTACAAGGAGACAGACACGAACATATCGCAGCCTCCCTAAACACACACGCATACACTACACGCATGCATGTTGCATACAGGGGAGGCCGTCCTTAAATGACCACAGCTGTTGATTGGACGTTAAACAATACTAAACCAAGCCAAAACAAACCAAACTAGTAAATCCTGCTACATTAAAAATGTTGATACATTGAAATTGTTGATGATGCTAAAATATGACCCAATACGACTAGATTAAACTCGCCATACATCTTACAGCGGTCAGCATCAACTGGAGGCACAAACGCTGACATCACAGACTTGACTCATCTACCTAGACTTCAGATGGTCACACTTATCTACAGATCCCAACCTATATCATAAGCACAATCATCTACGGCTCTCGGGCCCTGACCACTACCCAAGTCTAATGAATTGTATAGTTGTATTAGGGTTGGCATGAACAAATAGGGTCGGTCGGGAAACAAGAAACACAGCTTTATTTTTATTTTGCCTAAGGTAACAGCAAAAATGTAGTACAGTGTTGCTATGTCAAGTGTGATACGACAATACGCGCAAAGTTGAAACTCGACCGAAAACCCCGTTATATATGTTAAACGTGATTACTTCTAGAATTACCGTACAACATTTAAAAGGAACTGATTAAATAAAATAAAAAATCTTCCATATGCTACACAATGCCAAGGGGGAATTCCTCCACTAAAAATCCACGTTAACTTCCGAACTTTATTGGTATGCAATTATATGTACCAAGTTTGAAAGGGAGGCGACTAATAAGCTAATAATTTGCTTTGGTGTCCTCTATTTGGGAACACAAAAGTGACTAAAATAAATCTGCTGCGTCAATTGCAATATTTGGGATCTTTATCTTTCTTTCTACTTTTAACTACCTTTTATTCCTAACGCCTTGCTTGCCAACACCTCACTTTTGGCTTGAATGTTGAGCGTTCGCCCAGGTGAGGAAAGCAATGGGTTTCCCTGCTTAACGTTCAGCATTAAGGGGAAGGGCAACAACTTGTTTACCCGTTGTCAGTATAATGTCACCGGGTGGAATGATGTGCGTGGTGTCTTCGGCATGGCATCTCAGTGAGATATCGCTATAAAGTCGGCATCTAATCCGCGATATCACAAGGAGGCAAGCACGCCAACATACCCTATCTCCTGCATACACGGAAACACGTCCTCACATGACCTGAGCTGTTAAACGGACGTTGAACAAAATCTTACAAAACCTAACCTTAACGTCTCTTGGTGCCTTCAACATGGTATTTCATAGATGTAGCGCTCTTAAGTTGGCATGAGATCCGCGCTGTCGCAAGGAGGCAATACCGCCAACATACCCCGTCTCTAGCACACATTCACAATAAACAAAGAAACACATCCTGAAATGACCTTCGCTTTGGATTGAATGGGACGTTTAACAAAATAAGAACCAAACAATTTAGCTGAACAAAATGTAACTAAAGTGGCTAAAGATAGAATTGAAATAAATAAAATCAAAGAGTATTCATCTGCTCCGATTCTTTGCACCTTTTTAAAAAAAGTGCTCAAAAGCCTTAATAGTATTCTCATGTAGAACATTATCAACAGTAAAACAGATTTTATAGTCTGTCTTCTTTTGTTTTTAATTTTGATATCTGTCCGATGAAATGATGGGCTAAATATCAAAATCGAGTAGACAGGACCGCTAAAGCAGCACTCGTCCTACTACGGGATGATAGGAAAACGTCTTACTCTGATTAAAAATCAGTTATGATATATTGGGCCGACTTAGAAAGATACGTGGAAAATGCAATAATGAAAGTTGGTTTGTTACAGTTTCTATTCCGGTAGTATATGACTTGAACATATAAATGTGTACTTAAAGATATACACGTTTTGCTACTTATTAATCCCCTACCGGTAAAACCGGGGGGACTATAGGTTTCATCTCCGTCCGTCTGTGTACGTACGTAACACCAATGTTTGTCAGCGCTCTAGAGGCTTCATTCCTGGAGGGATTTTGATCAAACTTCACACGAATACAAAAGACAATTATATTTCGAAGTAGTTTGAATTTCAGTGTTGTTAGGTCACGGTCAAGGTCACTGTTACTATTTTTAGAAAAGCCTTGTCAGCACTCTAGCGGATTTATTCCTTGAGGGATTTGGATCAAACTTCAAACAGTTACAAAGAACTATAATATATCGGGGAAAAGTTTGAGTTTCATGGTTGTAGAGTTGCTATTTATACAAAAGCATGGACAAGTTGAAGCCAGTGATGGACTGATGATCGATATATAATAATCGAACATCGATCATTTTGTCCTGTTCGATAACAAATTTCATAATCGATATAATAGATATGGACTGACCTTTACTAATATGGCTTGACCATACACATATATATATGGACTGACCAGTAAAAGTGTCAAATGTGTATGTAATATACATTATACGTTCTGATTATTTTATCCCTGCTTTCACCGAAATGGGGTATATTAATTTGGGTCTGTCTGTCTGTCCAATAACTGAAGGCTTGGCCAAGTTCGATGATCACTTTCAGCGGACCCCATTTGGCGGAGTTATGGCCCATTGAATAATGAAAATTGTAAGTATCTGCCGCACTTCGTTTTCGTGCAATAACTACAACAAATGTTAACCGATTTTCTTCAAACTTGGTCACATGTCTAAATGCCTTAAGGACTCATCCAAGTTCGATGAACATTTTCAGTGGACTTTATTTGGCGAAGTGATGGGCCCCTTGAATAACGAAAAACGTCATTATCTTCCGTTCTGTTGATTTACTCTCGCAAATATGTTCCGATTGTCTTCAAACTTAGTAACAAGGTTCAAAGCATTGAGGGCTTGGAAAAGTTTGTCGGACTCCATTTGGCGGAGATATGGCCACTTGATCAACGAAAAACGACATTATCTGCAGTTTCCGCTTAATAACTCTAGCAAATATTAGCCAAATTCCTTCAAACTTGATAACAATATTTGTGTTCCTCTGTCTTTCCACCCATCTCGGGCACTCTTTGGATTTCGTGTGATAATTGCTGTAGATATTGTTCAGATGTTTCAACCAAATTCCGTATGCACATCCGACTCATGCTAAGTTTGCCAACCGATGTGATTTGTGCATATTTACGGATAATCAATGAGGTATAGGGCTTCTTATTTTTTCTTCAAACTTCAAGCTATACATTATGTCTTAACAGCACGATACTCACATATTTAAACCTAACCTCAATAATGTTAATCTACAATATGTCCTGCAAGCGGGGTATATAACTTCCACAAATTTGCTTGTTTTACAATATGATTGGTGGTAATGTAGAATAGAAAAATTACATTAAAATCAGATACAAGCTAATTGTATACTTTTCATTTTCCCAAATTAACACTAAAGGGCGCCATTTTTATAAATCATAACAATGTAATAGCTAGCGGGGCCTGTAGGGGGACATGTATTGCTTGTTCATTTTTTTTTTCGCATTCTAAACTTTTAAATTGTTAGCTAAAGTTTTATGGGTTTTAGTACGTCTATTTTGGCGTTGTTTGACAGTAAATGACAAATCGTAATTTTTAAATGTTTTCCAAGTCGGGCGTTATCGTTTTCTTTCGTTTAAAGTTGGATATGTGCGCTGTTTATTTCATAGTTTAAACATACTGAATGCTTCATCAGTTTCTTTTTTTTTTTTTTTTTTAGAAGCTGGAACTTGATAAATATACCAGAACAACAGCCACATCTCGTGCCATTTTACTACACTCAAATCAAAGGTTAGTTTTGTATAAAGCTGTGTAAGATATTAGGTAAATATTAATTCATACTTTTAGCATGCTCTATCATCAACTGTCTATACACTTCTACAGAAAATTTTCGCATGCTAGGTGTAATTAACTGTCGTATGTATTTAAAAACAAATGTTACAATGACTTATATGTTTATTAATATAACTTCTCTTCACTTGACTTTTTTGCACACGATACAAATTAATAGCAAAGGTATTACAACAGTGAATTTCTGATGATACACCGGTTGCCTTGTTGTTACAGTTACTACATGGAAGTGTTTTATAGACAAAGCACTAGTTCAACGGCCGTGAATGTGGCGGTTCGGTATTTAGATAGCATAGTCAATCACCACATGGCTGGGAACGTGCAACAGGAGCAACAACTAATACACTTTTGGACTTACTTTGAAAACGAGAAACAACGAATAACGATTCCAGACATCATCAACCAAACAGCCGTCCACGAACAGCAGGAAATAATTGTGGACGCAGACGAGGGAAGGTTTCGGTTGGGAATGTACGGTGTTTATACGGGTAAACATTACTCTATAGCTCAGTAGCCGTGAAAGCAGTTGCTATTGCCAAACAACACACAATTAATATTAGTAATTTACTTGCATTGTTACTTCGCCGCAGTATGAAATGATGTAGCCTGATCAAAGGTCTAAAATTTTCTTTTCGTGCAATTATTTAAGCTGCTTTAATGGAAATATTAGCCTTTATAAACAAGTTTTTTTTGAAGAAAGCAAGCGTTGATTTGATGCTACCATTGATGTCCCTTCGGTTAGGGCGTATGAATTGTACATGCTGCCTCAAATGAATGATCGTAAGAGGCGACTTAATTTGGGATCTTATCTTTTCTTACTCTGAAAACTTCTTATTGCGTTTTCCACTCCCCTACAGGTTTGGAGAAAGAATACCCCTGTTTGTATCCCATTACATATTGTAAATAGCGCCAAATGAGGGGCCCTCTTCCGTGTGCGTCCTCTGCTAGAAGGACATTGGGGAAACAATATGCTGCCCCCTTCACAACATTTGGGATCCATCGGCCTTTGTGGTTAATGCTAGCTTAAGTGGGTTAGACAATATATTCTGTCCCCTGGCCGGGGCATACGAAAGTCCTTCATATGGTATCTGTTGTGCCTTTATCACCTTACACATATACTTAAAACTTTGTGTATATAAAACACGCCATGTCATGTATAAGTCTGACATTCGAACCTCCAGTCTGAAGAGTTTCATAAGGGGACATCATCATGATAATATGTAAGTAAGGTTATACACTTCTATTATTACAGCTGTTATTCCAGGCTTCACGCAAAGCATTTAAGGGTATTGGTACAACCACTTTCCCCGTTGTCAGTATAGTGCAGCACACTAAAAGTTGGCATCAGATCTGCGGTATTGCAAAAAGGTAGATACATTAACATACCCTGACTCTGGCACACATGCACAAAAATATGCATACATTTACACAAATGAAGGCACGTCCTTTAAAGTACTTGCAGGTAGGGCGTAAGATCTATACCTGCTGCCCCTATTGCATGATTGTAACAGGCGACTAAATGTGGGTTCTTATCTATCTCTTCAATCTAAACAACTTTCTTCTTTCTAATGTCTCCCTTGACAATGCCTCACTGTTGGCCTTCAGTTGAGCGTTCGCCCCTGTGAAAAAGGCTTTGTGTTCTGTCCCCTGACCGAGACATACCAGAGTCTATAAAAATCGTAGTTGCTACTCCTGTGTATTGCTCAGCAATTTAGGAGTGGAACGACCGGTTCGCCCGTTGTCAGTATAATATGACCAGACGGGGTGTCCTGCTGGGTGTCTCCGGCAGTATGTTTCAGTGAGGTAGCACTATAAAGTCGGCATCAGTTATGTGCTATCACAAGGAGACAAACACGAACATATCGCAGCCTCTTAAAACACACACGCATAAACTTCACGCATGCATGTTGCACTAAGGGGAGGCCATCATTGAATGACCATAGCTGTTGATAGGACGTTAAACAATGCTAAACTAAACCAAACCAAACCAAATCCTTAAAAGTCCTCGCAACTGCCAGGGTCATGAGGAAGTTGTCCTATCGCGACTTCACATAGGCCATACCTACATCACACAAAGGGGGAAGACCAACCTTGCTGTCATGCCTTTGATCAGCCATTTTCAATCAACACTTTATGATTGAATGCGCTGATTTCAAACAAATACGTGACATATTTTATAATGTATCCGCTATGAAACGTTTATTCAATAGTTTCTGTGTATTAACATTCAATTAATCTCTATAATAAGATATGGTACATTTTATAAACAATTCGTTTGCCTTTGATATATTTTGACATCTTTCCATATTTTAACCTTTTTTCTTCTTTTTTATGTATTCAGTTCTCTGTGAATGTCTATTTTTACACTGTTGTTTGGCCCTAAATGACTCAAATTGTCGATGGGCTGTAAAACAATACAAATCAAACATGATGACGAATGCCTAGGGAGACACCGCCCGATATGAAATAAGATAGAAAAGGAAAACGGAAAGGAATGATAAGAAACGGAAGTGTTGCAATGGGGGCATCAAATCATTGTTGGTCTCTGCCACGTCCCCTTCGTAGACAGCGAAAACCCACCGCTTCAGCAAGGGTTCAAGAGTAGTCGCCTCTTACGATCATGCTGTGAGATACAAACGGCTTGTTATGTCCCTAAACCTGCACGGGTGTCCTTAAATGACATGAACTGTTAATACAACATGAAACAAATAAAACCAAACAAACCCAGCGCCTTCCTTGGCAATGTCTATTTTTCAGACCTAGTTTTGAACGATAAGTGATAAGGGGTCATGAAACAGTATAAAAACAAACAAAAAAACAAATCTGTCCCCATGCAGATTATTCCCCTTTTCAAGTAAACAAATGACACAATATGACTTCTTCTCATTTTCAGAGATCCTCTTTGTTGGTGCCTCGGAGATTGATTTAAGGAATGCTCTGCAGGCCCTTCCGGTGTTTGATGCATCTGAGACTGTGTCTGTCAACATGACTTCCCATGGTGAAGGGTTCAAGTACACCGTTACCTTCATATCTGAGAGAGGTGATATACTTTATTTAACACGTTGGATAATATCTTAAGATGTTTCCATGTAATCTGTAATCAATAATTGCTATCAGATTGGAAGGATTCTCACTCTTAAGTTACCATAAGTTCTATATGAATTACATTTGTATACTTTTCTCTCTCGATGCGTTAATCATTAACACCAACACCAACCGATTAACTTTTAAACGATAAACTTCAAACTTGGTAAGAAAGGTGAATGCTATAAAATCCTGTTTTTATTTGGTCATTTTAAGAGAATTATTGCACTTGAATTTATATCAGTCTGTTCGTTGTCTGTTAAATTGTATATATATTGTTATATTGTAACTGTATACTAATTAACGTCAAACCTTGTGAGAAGGATTACTGTTATACAATCGTGTAGGCCGGAACATACCAAAGTCCTCAAAAATGGTTGTTTTTATTCCCCGCTTAACGTTCAGCATTCAAGTTAAAAGCAACAACTGGTTCACCCGTTGTCAGTATAATGTGAACGGGCGGAATGTTGCGCAGGGTGCCTTCGGCCTGGTATTTCAGTGAGATAGCATTCTAACGTCGGCATCAGATCCGTGCTATCACAAGGAGGCAAATGCACCAACATACCCCGTCTCCGGTACAAATTCCAACATTCACGCATACACAACACACATCCTTAATTGACCTTAGCTGTTGATAGAATGTTAAACATCATGAAACAAAACCAAAGAAAAAATAAAAATTGCAATTTGACAGGCTTTTCATCGTTAGGAATTATTTGGTCTTTGAACACAAATCTATTTTATATTGCAAAAAATAGGAATTGATAGCAGTATGCAACTGACCAAATGTCATAGCCCTAGGCGTCTTGTTTATTGAGAAGAGGCTGTGTTATGTTTTTTAGACATTTGACCCCTTTGACATTGAAAGAAGGTCAATGTCAACCATTTTCACAAACTTGATAGCAAATCACCTGAGCATCTTATATCTTAAATATCAAGACCAAATACCTTGTAGAATTTAGGAAGATGTTTTTTTAAATGTGTTACCCAAAATAACACTTTTGAAATTGTATCCCAACCGGAAACCGGAAGTTGACTTTTGATAAAAAAATATTTTTTTGCAATTAATACCAATTAAAAGCAGTATGTTTCTGACCAAGTAATAGAGAAACATCGATTTTAACATACTGTCGGCATTTCAAAAAGATTATAGAAAATTTTCAAAATGGCGTACAGTGCAAACGGGAAACGTTACAGAAAAACTGCAGCCTTCAAATTAATCGGAATGACATACTGCATCGATTTAAAAATAATGATAAAGGTTAAAAATTGGTGAACTTTCACCCATAAGCAAGGATTTTTATTTAACCTTTTTCGTAATAACATGTAATGAGAAAAACTTAACTCCGCAGAAATATCTTTAAATAATATAATGCATGACTGCTGTACAATCAGCAGTTTTTGAGTTAGGACCATTTTATTATTTTGACCTATGACGTCATGGCGGCCATATTGGATTCTTGACCTACTTGAAAATGTTGCAATGACACCTTTTGACCTTGGCGTACAATATACTTATAAGACTGTTAACACATCTGTTACCAATCAAACCATTAGGTGGTCACAAAATCAGGGAAGAAGAATAAGAAGATTACTAATAATAAGAAACATCACAATTCCGAAAGTTGGTGAATAGCCCTAACACATTGTGTAGGTTTTCTTTTGATACTGATTGAATAATTAAATGGTGTTCATCTTTGATTTCGACAGTTAGGTTTGTTATCGCTGTTTCTCAATAGAACTTGATGGATCGCTCTCAAAATGCCATGTAGCTTTTCCGTGGTCCTTAATCGTCTATGTTTAAATTTGAAAGTTATCAATAGCACAATGGTGGGCGCCAATTATTTTTCTTTGATTACTTGTTAGGGTATGTTGTTCATTTTCTTTTAAATTATCCTAGCTGTTAATAAGAAATAAACTAAACTAAAACTAAGTTGATCGCTAACTTTGATTTGAAATGCTGTCATTTATAAATTAATATTTTGAATCTCCGCGGTCCGTAAAAGCATGTTCAAAGTAAAGAAAATAGACAATTTAAATCCTATTTCTCATATATCTTTTGTATTCTATTTGTTCAATTTGTGAGATTAAATTCACGTCGTTATAGATAATACATTTGCCGTATAGTAACGGAGGTTTAATTTATGTTTGATATATTATCGACTTCTTTTTGGACATGTTTATATTTTTCAGGTAGTTTCCCTTTACTCGAAATAAGGAATTTAGCAGAGTATATTTCAATCGAAATACTAAAAACAAGAGACGGAAGACCGAGCGGTAAAAAGATAGGACTGTTTATGGCCGGTACACCTGCACCTCTCATAGACAGTGATCCATCACAAGCACAGGTATATCAAATCTATATTAAGAATAGACAATCATTGAGTCGTAAACTCGTATACCATTTCATGATTACAATTAGTGAATGCGTGATGGTTTGGACATTAAGAGATTAAGAGGGTCCCTGCAGATAGGGCGTAACAATTGTACCTGCTGCCCCCATTGCCTGATCGTAAGAGGCGACTTCATTTGGGATTTGATACCGTTTCTGTTTACACCAAATTCCTTCACTGTTGATTAACCTTTTAACCTTTTATGTGAATGTTGTTTGGCCCTAAATTAGTCGCTCTGTTGATGGGCCATGAAACAGTACAAAACCAAATTTCATTTCCAATTATTCCGACATCAAAATTAAGATCAAGTAACAAAACCTGAAGAGCCCGTTACAGTTTTTGGTCAGTTAAAATCAGTCTGTTATATATTCCGGTTATAGGTTAAGTGCTGCTTTAACGTCCCTATTTAGTTTCTCAATTTTAGTTATTCCACAGGTTGGCCGTCAGTGAAAATCTGTCATTACTATTTGTTCAGTTGAAACAATTGTTTTTAACGCTTCGTGTTATTATTTTCCAGGTTGAAGATGCCATTGATCAATTATTCACAGCACGGTGTCCAGCATACTGGACCGAACCTAAAAAGAGTGTGTTATATTACAACATGGATGACTCTTCATCGATACCGACATATATGAGGCGATATTGGATAAATGATAATTGGTATACTCAGTACAAGACCAATCATCAGCAAGCTTTTTGCGGAAAAGGAGCGTTAAGGAATCCCCAGTGGATCCTACACGATACATATTATGAAAGTCCTAAAATTCATCTAACGATAAATCCGACGGTAAATATGAACCCAACGACGATACATATAGAGTTATACGGCATGACTATTTATTTGACGTAACGGATGGTCTGTATGTTTTATTATATTATAAGAGCCAAGTGAGAGTGGTGCGGCGTTCTTCAGTCCAGCGTTAATTTTTACTTTAAACAACTTCTGAATAACGAAGGGTGATGTTATTTGATCAGTAACATGCTGTGAAGAATGACCGCCATGTTTGTTTAAATGAAAGAGTTTCGCATAGTTCAAGGTCAGAGGGGTCAAACATGTTAAAATCAATAAACAACTTCAGAATAACCAGAAGACCCATGATGATATTTAATCATTAAAATCATTAAACAACGTATGTGCCAATCACATTCTGACACAAAGAGCTACTCAATTTGTTCAAATGAATGCTCATGACTTATAATCAAGGTCACAGGGGTCAATTATATTAAAAAGAACTTTCAAACAACTTCTTCTGAATAATCAAAAGGCCAAGGGTGATGATATTTGGCCAGTAGCAAGCGGGGACAAAGGCTACCAAATTAGTTCAAATGAATTATCTCCATCCATAATAAAGGTCCAGGGGTCATATGTGTTGAAATCTTCTGAATAACCAAAAGGACCAGGGTAAAGATATTTTCCCATTCGTCTGCTGTGATGAACGGCTACGAATACTTATAACATGTTCGGATGAAAAAGTATCGAATTTGTTAAAATTAATAACCTTCATGTATATTCAATGTCACAGGTGTCAAATATGTAAAAAAAAAACACCTCAAACGGCTTGACACTTATACCAAATAAAACAAAAACTAAAATGTTATTTAGCAAGTAGCTTACTTGATGAAAGTTTTGAAAAGTCTGTTCAAAATAGTGACATTGAATCATATTTAAGTTCCTGTAATGGTTAAATAGCTTTAAAAAATTAAACGATTTATTCAGAATAATTAAAATGCAAAGGGTGGTGATATGTGACAAGTAGCTTGCTCATATGGAGAGCTATCGGGTTTGTTCATGTGCATTACCTCGACACAATTTCGATGTCAAATCTGATCAATTGTTTATAAACATTTAAAAGTCATCTTTTCATTAAACAAAAGGTCAAGCTGCACAGACATGTTATTTTGAATGACTAAAAAGTTTGTTCAACTTAATGTCCAATATCCTAAGAACCGTTTGGACTAGAGTCATGATACTTGGGTACGTAATGTAGATTAGCTGTGCGATTTATTTCTTTATTACAGAAATGAGGTCAGCAGTCAACTTTTATTGCAAGTCGAGAGTCAAAGGTCAATGTGGGTTAAAACTTTAAAATTCAAATTTCAAACAACAATATCTTCAGAACCGTTTAAGAGATGTTCAAAAGTCTTGTGTTCTAGTTAACAAATTTGGTCTTAAGTTACCTATATTTCAGTTTCATGTTACAAAAGAAGCAGGTAAGCGATATAGGCCCTCTGGGCCTCTTGTTAGATTCACATAATTATACAGCATCCTATCATCATTAGTCCATACATGTATGGATTTGTTAGTACTATTTAAACATATTATTCAAAATTAGGTATTATCTCTTAAGAATAAATTTAATGAAAATAATCCGTCTAACACTAATGTGTCGCCTCATACATGCGTGATTTAATAGCATAAATATGAATGTTCTGACTCCTGAAGTTTAAATTAATTTCGATCAACAACACTCGTCGAAATTGTATTGACAACTGAAACGTCATTTAACAGCAATATATCAGACATATTGATCTGTTCATATATGAGAATAGTCCGAAGAAATTTAGTTCAATTTTATATGACTAATGTCAATGTCTTTGACAGTTTTGTGTGGCATTGAAAGGGGACGCCAACCGGATCAACATGTACGTTGATTACGTAGACGTCAATGGAAAACGGAAAACGCTGTCACAGAATTTCTACGACATCATAAAAGCCAAGAATACTGAACAGTAGGTATACAAACAATTATATTCAATGTTTCACCACGTGTAACCGAAGTCAGGCTCGAATAATTTACATTGATGAGATACATTTTAGCCAGCAACAGAATCTGCTCAACTCTAAACATCGTCTGTGTTCAGCCGTCTTTCAATAATGCTATTTCTCAAAAAGTGACAAATTGAGGTGACCATCTTGAATTTTGGTAGTTCACGTATTTCAATAAATAGTTCGTTCTCAAATTTCATTGTTCGGTTTCCCTTTGTGTATGCTTTCGTATGTTTATTTATCAGTCTGATAAAAACACCTCGCGGCTGCTTGGCAACAATATATGATTTTATCAGTTAAAGTATGTTGTATTTTTTAATTACATGAGAGATATTTTTGAAACTTCATATGTAGGATCCTGGTCTTTATTGCGGCATGTTCATCAATATATTTTTAGTAGGATTGAAGTTGAATGCTCGCAACAGTGAAAACGATATTTTTCGTTATCGACGTTTGTTCTGTACATGAATCTACCAACTGACAACAACTGCCATCAGACCATGAATACACTATGAATACAATGATTATCATGCATTCAGTCAGCTGATTTCACACACAATGCCAAATTTAATATTAATACGCATAGTACCGTTTCCCCTTCTCCGAGATATCATTTTTGCCAGAAATAATAACACACATTACAAAAAATGGTGCACCATTGTACTTTCTTTATGATTCTTTTTCATTGAAAATTAAAAACAAATACTTATAACATTGTCATATATTAAATACTGACTTCCGGCTCGCAATCGGTTCCTCGTGATAACGAACTTTCCAACACCAAACCGTCCGGCTGGTTACTCCCCGTGACATCAACACGCACATTAAACTCAAGAGAACTTTGTAATGACACATGGCACTTCATCCACCAACTAATCATCATTTACATCTGCAGGTTTTTTTGGTAAACAGCACATTCAATGACTGGTCCTGGATGGTTACTATGGTGACCGATGATTTGAAATAGCGCGAACATAAACTTTTTTAAATGTATAATATGCGGTGTTTAATGCAAACAAAACATAAAATAAGATTAACAGCAATAGCTGATTTACATATCAATTCGTTGCCGCAATGTACATGAAAAGAAGCCCATTCAATCCCTCTATGAACACGGTTAGTTTGTATTTGACCCGGAATGCTGTGAGGACGTTATTCTAAATATCAACAAATATTGGGGAAATTTAGATGCAGCAAAGTGTATTTTGATTGTTACGTTTTTATTTTAGATGGAACTATGGCTGCTATAATTTGCGGGAACATATAACAGCAATCATCGCTGGTGCAACGCAGTTAGTTTTACGCCGATTCAGGATATACGGAGCAGATTTTTTACTAGATGAGCTTTATTTTGGACAACAAGCTACAACATTAGATACGGGTGAGTGTTTTTTTCAATTTGAAGAAATCCTAGGAATAAAAAGGTATAAGGAATAAGGTAAGATAAGGTATATCATCCTTAGGGCGGGATCCATCAGAGGCTTGTTGGCAACTGAATATTTTTTCCGACGGTCGTTCCCTCCCCCCTCTCAATGGGGATAAATTATTCCTATTCTCTTATTAAGGCTGTTTTATATAAGAATGCAATGTTGTTGTGACTTGCTAAATGGATTGCTGATCTGACGTTATTAAGTCCCCCAAACATGGTTTGTGGACTTATTGTTTTTATTCCTCTGTGTTCTTTTTCTTCTTCTTCTTCTGCTTCAGCCATGTCCAGAGGTTTTCTCAGAAACTATTGAGCGGATCATCATGAAACTTCACACACATACTCAATAGGAGGTCAGGGTGTCTAACAGACTATTGTTATCCCGACCGGAAGTCCAAGATGGCCGCCATAACCTTACTTCCGGTTTTGAAGTTTTTGACTCTGATTTCGTTGAAAATTGGTACATAAGGGTTTTCAGGGCTGCCGAAAACAATGGAAACAGTTTTGACCAGCTCAGTTGTCATGGTAACGAAATGGGGGTCTCTGATTGGCCTCTGACTGGTCGAAATTTAGTTGTTGTTTGATTCTGCCCAAAATTGGTACATAGGGGTTTTCAGGGAATCCGAACACAACGGTAACAGTTTTGAAAAGTTCAGTTGCCATGGTAACGAAATGGAGGCCTCTGATTGGTCGAAATTTAGTTATTTTCTCATTCTGCCCAAAATTTGTACATAGGGGTTTTAAGGGATGCCAAACACAATGGTAACAGTTTCGAAAAGTTCAGTTGCAATGGTAACGAAATGGAGGCATCTGATTGGTCGAAATATTCCTTAGTCCAACAGGGGTCGTTTGGGGGACTAATCTGTAACGACCATCCGTTACAATTATTACTAGTTGCAGTTGTGAAATGACGTCGTCTGTAGAGTCAAGTCGCCTGAGCCAAATGGTCGGACAATATTATCTCAGATAGTGAAAGTTGTGTTACTGATGAAAATGGAAGGAACAAAAACAATTCTTTGGCGATTGGATAGACGATCTGTCCGTCAATTTTTATTTAAAACGCTTTTAGTCCTAACGGCTCAGTAGATTCTGACTTACCTAGGTCTGGATTGGTATGGTTTTATTAGCTCACCTGCCCGAACGGCAAGTGAGCTGATGCCGTGGCGCGGCGTCCATTCGTCATCTTCTCATTTAAAATGCTACTAGTCATGTAAGGCTTACATTTTTTTATCTAAGGGGACTCACTAGTGTTGGTATGATGGCAAAGTGTGAAAAAAGTGTGTCCGTGATATATCTTCTGTACTATTTCACCTGAAGTATTCAGAGTTAGTGCACAATGACATCTTTGAATGGCGGAGTGCAAGAATTAGGTCACTGACCTATGACCTAATCGTTGACCTTTCCTTTTGAAAATGTTTGCCCGGGGCATATCTTCTTCACTTTTTCATCACGAGTATCCAGATTTAGTGTTCAAGGACATTTAAGTACGGCGGAACGCAAGAAGTATGTATCAGGATACTTTCTGAACAGAAGGCACATCCAGACATAAGTTAAATATAAAAATCATTACCGGTGGGGGACTATAGATTGCTTTGCATAACTTTGCTTTGTTTCCTGTGGAAATTCACCCCTGTATGTCGGGGATCAAGAAAATTGTATCGTAATGGGCTTTACTGTTGAGCGTTCTACAAGGTGAGGAAGTCAATGCGTTCTGTCCCCAGGCCGGTAGTTGTTATTCCCTGCTTAACCTTTAGCATGGGGGTAGTGGTAACGACTACTTTGCCCGTTATCATTATAATGGGATCGGCTGTAATGCTTTGCTGAGTGCCTTCGACGGCACGTTGTTTCAGTGAGATTGCACTATAAATTCAGCATCAGATCCGCGCTTCCACAAGGAGTAGAGTGCACCAAAATACCATGTCTCCATGTACACAATCGCACGCTTGCACGACACGCATGGAGGCACGTCCTTAAATAGCAATTTAGGAGTGGGACGACTGGCTCGCCCGTTGTCAGTATAATGTGACCGGGTGGGTAATCCCGCTGGCTGTCTTCGGTAGTATGTTTCAGTGAGGTAGCACTATAAAGTCGGCATCAGTTCATCGGAGACAAACACGAACATATCGCAGCCTCCCAAAACACACACGCATACACTACACACATGCATCTTGCACTCAGGGGAGCACCGTCCTTAAATGACCATAGATGTTGATAGGACGTTCAACAGTACTAAACCAAACCAAACCTTGGTATATGACGCTACAAAAATGTAAAGTTGGGATTCCTGGGCAAGGGCTAGGCCCCAAAGGGAAAATTAACCAATATTTCAAAAATATTTTTCTCCTGACTCAGGTACTATAGTCAATTTCTCTGCGTGGATGGAAATATCATCAGAGCCTTAATTTAAATTGTAAATTTCAGAACCCCAATGCCAACCATTCTGGTAGGGTGATGGGGTAAAGTTGATTATAGTTAATATATGTAAATAACACTCTTTGGTATTTTAACTATTTGCAGCAGAAAATTGTTCAAACTTGGTCCGAATCAACTTTGATGAATGAGTATATTACATTGTAAAATTGGGATTACTCCCCCGAACCCAGGGGCTAGGGTGGAGCCCCAAAAATTTACCAATATTTTAAAATTATTATCCTTTGATTTCATTTAGTTTACATTTTCTACATCAGATCTCAACAATGAAATTGGACACAGTAGCTATAATTTAACTCAAGTTACCGCTTTGGCTCTTGGGCCTCTTGTAATGTATTCCGATTTTTGTGATGTCTATTTTTTACGTTGCTGTTTGGCCCTAAATGACTCAAATTATCGATGGGCCGTAAAACAAAACAAAATACTAAATGACAAAAGCTGTTAAAAAGACATGACACCTACTAAAAACAAATAAGTACTTCAAACTTAAACTAAAAGGTAAAACATGTTTAAAAGTATTAAAATAGTATTTATAACAGGCGATTTATGAAAAACGATAGATATGTTTATGTACAAAAAACATTAAATATTGACAAACATGTGTGATCGAAAAGAAACTGTATCAAACAAACTTTTTATTTATGTTATATTTTTAAAATGTTCACGTATTTGTTGTTTGACTGGAAATGCTTGGTCAAAAACATTACCATGAGGTTGAAGTTCCTGCTTTTATTGAAAACAAAGAAAATTCGTTAATGTAACAGAACAGCAACGAAAAGTTGTTTGCTACTTTTTCCTTGCTATTCATTTATGATTAATTACCTTTAATTAATGTGTAAATAAATACGATTTCACGCTTGTTTATTGCTCTGTGATTTTCTGGATCTTTTGTTCTATCTCTGGACTGACTTTGCAGATCTTCAATCTTTTTTCGAAAACATAACTGTCTCTTCAATTTTGAAATAAAAATTGGCGTCACCATTGCCACTTTCAATATTCAATTTGACATTTGTCTTTTACCTTTACGTTTGGTTTGATGTTTTTATTTGGCATTTGTTTTTGTCGACCATTTGTTGTCCCTTATGACCTATCCTGTATTGATGGGCATTATCATTGATAATGAAAATAACACTTTGCAGATTTAAGCTTCGAGATAACATTTGTTGTAGTTTTGTTTTAAAAACGTATATGTTAGTGGTTTTTCGCCTACAATGACTCAAATTATCGATTGGCCGTAGAGCAATAAAAAACTTGAAGAGACTTTGGTTGAGAATACAAAAAGAGTTAGTGTGATTCTAGTTCTTTCAAAGTTGTGTTGCTAACTCGCAAGTGCCAGTTTCGATTGTTATTTTGTTTGTTTTTTCTAGATGATGCCCATCTACGACGTCTAGTTTGCTCTCCAAATGGTTACAGAATTGTAGACGTAGATGTAACAAATTCTCAGAATAGTTTTGATGTCTCTCTCACTTCTGCCCATGCGGGACATGGATTTCCTTTATTTGCTGTCGATGAGACTCAGGTAAGATTTATTTATCCTCCATACCGGTTAAAATAAGTAATATGTAGTGAGCTAATCTGTAGTAAAACGACTAAAACGCACAGTTGTGGGTATGCACAATGGTGTACGGTGTGCGCACGTTAAAAAAGCGACAAAGGCGTGTAAAATCACAAAGTTGTTATATAGGTGTCGTGGTAGATATTTATTAATGAGCGGTCTGTGTATAATACTTTTTCGTATTTAAACTTATATCTTTCCTTATGTTGCCATATTTGAGCCATAGCCTTATTAACCGACACGTGTTTTGATATACATGCTCGCAGATAAAATACATATAACACCCGTTACCAGGGCTTGTTCTCGATTCCCCAACATATTGCCTCAACTGATCTTAAGGTCCAAGTGAACTCATGCCATGGTGTTGCGATCGCCGTCGTCAAACGGCTCCTCCTCAATAACCAATAGACATAGGATGATCGTATTTGACCAATATCAAAAAAAGTCTGTTCAAATGCATGGCCTTGACCCACTTTTAAAGTCACTATGGTGAGATATGTTAAAATGCATTATGAATAATAAAAAAAACCCAGTGTGATGGTATCTGGCAGGTATCATTCCGTGACAAAGGGCTACGAAGTTTGTTCAAATGAATTATTTTGTCCTACTATGGAGTTATCTGGAGTCAAAAGATGAACAATTCTTTAAAAAGTTTCTCATGAATACGAGAATGTTTGAAAGCCTCCCTGCAAAATTTTGGAATTTGATCCGCGTTGGAGCGTCCGTCGTCCGGCATTTTACTTTGAATTATTTCTTCATACCCGAAAGGCCTAGGGTGTTGGTACTTGGCTAGAAATATACTGGGATAAAGGGCAACCAAGTGTTTTCAAATGAATTACCTTCACCCATTTTCATTGTCATAGGGGTCAATTGCCCTGTACAAAACCATTAAACGACTTGTGAAAAACCAAAAGGGGCCAGGGTAATAATATTTGGCCTGAAGCATGCTGGAATGAAAGGCTATCAGGTTTGTTAAAGAGAATGACCTTTACCCATTCGGGTAACATAGGTCAATTGTCATACAATTGGATGAAGGGCTATAGTTTGTTCAACTTAATATTAATGTTAACTATTATTAATTACACATGGACCAAATATGTTTACATCTTTTTACAGCTTATGTTGAATTACTTTAAGTCAAGACACTGATATTTTACCTATATCTTTGTTTTAGTCCGTTTTTAAGGTAACCATTGCGAGATGAATACCAGGTGTGTGATACAGGTCCCTGCGGTCTCCTGTTTAAGTATGTTTTTATATTCTAGCTGGATATATCGGCAGATCTTTCAAAGTGTGTCTTCTTAATTTTATCACATGTAAAAATTAGAACACAGATGAGCACTGTGCCTTATACAGGTAAATATAGCTACTTTATACTTGTACCTTAGACCGTAGTCATCATCCCCACCCGAGGCACTGAAAATCCAGGAGAAGGAGAGCTTCAGACCAAAAAGAACGCAAACAACAAATATTTAACTTCCAGTTGTGATTTCAAAACGGTCATACGATACAGCATATCGGCTCTCTTTGTCAGGCACATGTCAGGGAAAACTCTGGTCATTCATCAAAATATTATTTACCTGTTCTGTTACCTGGAAGCCAAAGCCATTCCTGGTAGTCTAACAACGGTCACTGTATACTAAATAACACGCATTGTGAAATTAAACATAATCTCAATTAATGTGATGAGAAATTTATATATAAAGTGTTTCTAATTCCAAACGAGCCTTCTGGAGAATTGGTAACTTCGTAATATTGATCAGCCAATTGTACCAAATCGCACGGTGTGCGAATGATGTTCTCACGCTATTTTGCTGCGTTGTGCAGTCATACAACTGTAACAACTTGACAGGCTTTACACCATTAGGACCGACTTGGTCTTCGATCACAAACATTTTTATCATCATGGTCTTTACCTTCTATGAAGAAAAGGGATCTTGACTATAGTGCTTAAGGTAGTTTTTTCGTTGAAAATAAATGTAAAGTACTGAAAGTACTGTAACAATGCTAAAAGTGTAACAACAATTGAAGACTGATATTGGTAGCGGACCGGGAAAAGAATACACCTTCAGTTACCCACTGAATGTGTATCGTAAGAGGCGACATATGTGTTTCCCAAAATATCATTTCAAGATGAAGTTACAAAGGAATAGTCTAGAACATTTATTCTTCGACATCAACGATACATATCGATACCTCAAGTGAAGAGTTCATTTCTTAAGTCTCAAATTCTGAATGTGTTGTTAAAAAAATATATTTGATGGATTTGTTTGAAAATAATAAACAAGCAAAACCAAATAACGTACTTGTAATTATTTGTTTGATTGGTTTTATTTCAAACTAGGTAATATCAAATATTCCAAAAGAAGACAAAATATGAAAATTGTGTTTGAAAAATATTGGATATTAATTTCATTATCTTTATTAAACAAGTGAACGTTATGAGTAAAATATTATTTTTTAGTATCTTACAAATCCAACTGAAATACTGCAAGGGGATTCTGTATGGGATATTGGTTTTTTTTTCTCTAAAAGAAACGGCCTTTTCTTAAATCTCAAACAGGAATAATTCTTATAATATTCTCTTTAGTGGTATTACTTAATAAGTGTGATAGCACTATAAAGTCGGCATCAGATCCGCACTATCACAAGGAGGCAAGCACACCAACATACCCGTATCCTGCATTCACACACGCAAGAACGCATACACTACACACAATAAGGCACGTCCTTAAATGACCTTAGCTCTTAATAGCACGTTCAAAAAATTAGACCAAACCAAACTAAACCAAACATATCACCCGGGACGGTTTTTGAGTACAATTCAGTTTTAAGGTTTCCTCAATGTTAATTAATTTATAATATTAAGCATTACTTGCATGTACAATGGAAGCAATATATATTTGATACTAATAAACCTTTGACAATATTAAACTTAACTCGAGATGACATTTCCTATTTTCTGTAATATTAGTGAATAAAATAGACGCCCCGAAACTTTTAGACACAACAGTTGTTTCCAGACGATAAAAAGGTGATTAATGTTATAGGCAGAGGTTTACTTACACTATTAGGTTCTGTTAATTGGCTCTAACAGAGACGTAAGAACATAACGCATACACTACACGCATGCATCTTGCACACATGGGATGCTGTCCTTAAATGAGCATAGCTGTTGATAGGACGTTAAACAATACTAAACTAAGCTAAACAAAACAACTAGTAGAATTGCTAGGTTTTAATGATTGTTAAGTGCGTACTCAAAGTGAATAATTTGCCAGTGTTAGCAGGGGCCTTGTTCCTCTCGAACCTTGCAGGGAGTACTCCCGATACACATAATGGCAAGTCGAGCGCAGCACCTCCATAATTTGATTTAGACTTAAACAAAATCAGTGATAAAGACAATAAGATTAACGACAAAGCAAACACACGCAGCGAAAGAACTACAAATATTTTATAAAATGAAACTCGCCGTTTACGTTTACACTGGTGTCATTACGAAACTATCAGAGCATGCGTATAGTGATTGAAGTTTTTGTAGATTTAGTTGAAATTGATTCATGTATTCAAATGAACAGAATAAAATCAGTTTAAAAATTGAATATTTAGAATATATCATCACTGTTAACTATTTTATTTCCGTAAGTTTACTGACCAATTAAGGTACATATTTAAACATGCATGCATCAATTAGCAAACGACGTTGCCAAAATATTCGAACATTAGTCGTTGCTGAACTCTCGCCCGATTATTTATTTATTAAATTATCTCATGCATTTTTCTATTTCTTTTTTAATTTATATTTTTTCTTTGCAAACTTATATATATATGTAGATTTTTTTTTCTGTGTGATATAAAAACATTTCAGCACTCGGACAAACACATAAATATTTATATATATATTCTTAACATTACCTGTACATTATTATGAAAAGTTCTTTTTACACAACCAATACGATTTTCAATGTGACAGTTCGATGACTAGTAAGATATGTACACTGTCACCTTCTTAAGACAAATGACCAGTGAAGCGTATGTACACAAAGGTATAAAATGTGTACGAGTTGTCTACAAAATCGATGTCGATTCGGCTACGCTGTAAGGGTACAATAGTTGTTTTTTTACATGAATGACCCATGTGACCTTGAATAAAACGGTTTTGACTTTTCAAAAAGATCAAAGAATTTATTCAAAATGGCGTTAGACGTTAACGTTCGTGTTACAGAAAAAACTTTAGACGACAAAAGCATTAGGAAATAATTGCACACCGACTACAAACAAAAGACTTGAAAAAAAATGAAAACAAATTGGTGACCTTTGACACAACAGCAAGTATTTTTATATGACCCTTTTGGAATAAACATATGAGAAAAAGTTAGCCCCGAAGGATATCTTCAAATAATATATGAACATAAATGCTGTAAAATCAATAGTTATGGACATTTTCAGGTTTTGACATCTGACGTCACGGCGGCTATATTGGATTTTGTACCTGCTTGAAAATATTCAAGTAACATCTTCCCACCATGTCCTAAATTGTTTTTGAAAGACTATGAATATAGCTGCTACATATTAAAATATTAAGGCTCCACAAAATCATATTTGTATTGCCTGTACATGATTTGACCGTCAACATCAAAACGTTTGAAAATCGGAACAAAACAATTTAACAATAAATCCTCAAATTAAAGTCAAAATCAAAATGGAATTTAAATTCAGAAACTATTTATACACGTAACAATCTTTTGAATATATCTGAGTTGATAGGTACAAATTACTGAAAAATTTGACAGAATGTTTTTTCACAATTTCCAAAAAATATCAGATCATATCCAGCGTCCGAAGCAAATATAGAGGTGCACTACAAATAAAGCAAAGTGTAGTTGGTGTAATTCTTGTGGAATTTAAAAACAATAGCTGAACCTAAAAAAAAAGAAATAACTAAACAAAGATGAGGACCCTGAAAAGAGAAACTGCACCAAGAAATCGAAATATTGAGCATCTGAAGCAATCAACCAAATAGTGCATAGGATAGTTTTGGTAAGTTGATCACCCAATAAAACTGGGGTAATATTTACCAGATACAACTTTCTTTTGATCTTTCTGATTGTTACAGGTTCCACCGGATACAAATATATCATTTACAAGAATTACCAGCGCGACGACTCCCATATCCGGCACATTTGATCTGACCCTGAGAGGTCAAACACTGAAATGTACGTAATCTACACTTCATTTACAAATGCGATAAATGATTCCATGAATATTATCTTAATGTATAAGAATGATGATTAAGATTATTGACTTTGATCTGTTTTAGCTGTCGATCCTTGTTTTTACTTTACTGATAGTGTCGTCAAAAGAAACATGTTATTTCGTTATAGGGTGTTTCTAGCTGTTTTTACTTGTCTTTTAGCAATACCGGTAGACATTAGAACGGATGATTTAAATGCGATATTGGAGCAATTTGACGATGTTGGTGTTGTGAAATCTGGTGGTTCTAACCTTCCATTCGACCGATATTTGTGGTTCACATTTGACACGTATGCGGGGAATCTGGAACAGATTCATGTAAATATCATAATTTAAATATATGCATAAAAAGTCGTAAAGGAAACGCATCTGATGTTTGATGGATTTCATTAGTTCACTAATGAAGCACATATTATTACTTTTAAAATATAGTCGTTACTTTTGTATCCCTTTTTTGTTTCTTTTAGATTAATGCCACTCTATTGGGTGGTATTAATGCGACCGCATCCACGTACACAGACAGAAACGGAGAATACAGGATCGACCCTCTATATGGAGAAATGTTACAGACAGCCAATGACAAACCTCAGGTAGTGTTATAAAAATGTACAAATAAAGAGTACATACGGAGAAGTGTGTGAATGCTGCCATAACGATGAAAATACTTTTGTGTGTTCAAAACATGTTCATTATAAAATTTCCCTTACTTCATTTTTATTGTTTTATTTTAGGTCACTGTTTCTATAAATGATGTTC